GTTCTGCTCCACACAGGCTTCAGTCGCACCGGAGTAAGTACTTCATCATGGGTTATGAATGTTTACAGTGTGTGTGTGTGTGTGTGTGTGTGTGCGTGTGTGTGTGAGACAGATTTGATTTGTTTGTAATCTTTAATGGTGTGTTTTAGAGCATTGTTCCTCTGCCAGGTGGCTACATAAAATCATTTAAGGGAGTTGATTTTAAATTATGTAGGTGCTTTTAGATTTGATAGATTTGATTTTACTGATAATTGACTTGGCAGGAAACAACATTCCAAGCAAATTCTGAAATGTGTTTCTCTAAAAGTTTTCCAACAAAAATGCTAGACTCACGTACAGAACTTTGGTATTTAAATAAACAAGTCTATATGCTATTATGTTCATATTGTCTAATTCATTGCAGAGTGGAACCATATTCTTCAAGAGAATCTTCTAGAAAAAACATATGGTTCTGAAGAAAAGGTTTGTTAGACATTTTGTCAATGCCAGACTTATCTTATTTAAAATATCTTATTTATATTTAATCTTATTTTTCAAAGGTTTTTCAAATACCAGATGTGTTAATAATTTAGTAAATTTGATACATCAAATAGAAACCTGACTCTTTTTGATGGAGGTATTTGTCATGCTTATAATGATCTTCAAGAATCATTTTTCAATTAGACAAATGTGGTTATCTTGGGCCATTAGCGCTGAGTGGCCGGATCAGAAACTAGTGACATTTCTTCTCGGAAATGATGGTCAGGACGTCCCTTGTCATTATCCTTAATGTGTTTAGACCAACACAAGTGGTTTTTGCGTCTAATAATAATATGAACAGGCTTTAATTATGCACTTTTACTTTGTGGTCGAAGACTTAGCGGAAGTCTGTGCCCACTATTGGAAACTGAGAGGCTTCAAGTAATATTACAATATAGTATATACAGTATAGTATATACTGGCTAAAAACAAATTAATTATGGTAGTTAATTAATTTGGAAGATTTGAACAAAACCAAGAAATGTACTAAAATGAGAACAATAAATTTGATCACACAATTTTCACACTGCGTTATATATTCTCTACTATTGATCAATAGATGGTTTTCCAACAACGTCACGCACTACCCACAATTCCGCAGTGCGCCATCTTCTAAGTCTAGCCGCCGATAGTTGTAAGTAAACAAAGCGTAGCACATCACTTTTTTGCGCTAAAACAGGCCGACTACCTGCATCGTTTTGGGGTGCAGTAACCGTGCAGATTGTGGGGACATTCCGAAGGCTATTACGAGCCAGGGGAGCGACTCTCGACGGAGAAAAGAACCCTTTAGTTGGCGAAGATCAACCGAGAAGGATTCAACCCTAACCCCCTGATAAATGGCACTATAAAGTCTGTTCTGACCATTTCAGAGCTAGCTAAATCTGTGCATGTGTGGTTTATATTCAGAGCTGCAATTTGACTGTGATACCATGCATACAGTACCTTGCGAAAGTATTCGGCCCCCTTGAACCTTTCAACATTTCGCCATATTTCAGGCTTCAAACATAAAGATATAAAAAAATTATTTTTTGTCATGAATCAACAACAAGTGGTACACAATCGTGAAGTGGAATAAAATTTGTTGGATAATTTAAACTTTTTTAACAAATAAAAAACTGAAAAGTGGGGCATGCAATATTATTCGGCCCCTTTACTTTCAGTGCAGCAAACTCACTCCAGAAGTTCAGTGAGGATCTTTGAATGATCCAATGTTGTCCTAAATGACTGATGATGATAAATAGAATGCACCTGTGTGTAATCAAGTCTCCGTATAAATGCACCTGCTCTTTGATAGTCTCAGGGTTCTGTTTAAAGCGCAGAGAGAACCATGAAGACAAAGGAACACACCAGGCAGGTCTGAGATACTGTTGTGGAGAAGTTTAAAGCCGGATTTGGATACAAAAAGATTTCCCAAGCTTTAAACATCTCAAGGAGCACTGTGCAAGCAATTATATTGAAATGGAAGGAGTATCAGACCACTGCAAATCTACCAAGACCCGGCCGTCCCTCCAAACTTTCATCTCAAACAAGGAGAAGACTGATCAGAGATCCAGACAAGAGGCCCATGATCACTCTGGATGAACTGCAGATAACTACAGCTGAGGTGGGGATGGTGTGTTCAGGATGATGAGCTGTGTTGCTTTTACGCCAAACATATCGTTTTGCATTGTGGCCAAAAAGTTTGATTTTGGTTTCATCTGACCAGAGCACCTTCTTCCACATGTTTGGTGTGTCTCCCAGGTGGCTTGTGGCAAACTTTAAGAGACTTTTATTGGATATCTTTGAGAAATGGTCACTCTTCCATAAAGGCCAGATTTGTGCAGTGCACGACTGATTGTTGTCCTATGGACAGACTCTCCCACCTCAGCTGTAGTTATCTGCAGTTCATCCAGAGTGATCATGGGCCTCTTGGCTGCATCTCTGATCAGTCTTCTCCTTGTTTGAGATGAAAGTTTGGAGGGACGGCCGGGTCTTGGTAGATTTGCAGTGGTCTGATACTCCTTCCATTTCAATATAATTGCTTGCACAGTGCTCCTTGAGATGTTTAAAGCTTGGGAAATCTTTTTGTATCCAAATCCGGCTTTAAACTTCTCCACAACAGTATCTCGGACCTGCCTGGTGTGTTCCTTTGTCTTCATGGTTCTCTCTGCGCTTTGAACAGAACCCTGAGACTATCAAAGAGCAGGTGCATTTATACGGAGACTTGATCACACACAGGTGCATTCTATTTATCGTCATCAGTCATTTAGGACAACATTGGATCATTCAAAGATCCTCACTGAACTTCTGGAGTGAGTTTGCTGCACTGAAAGTAAAGGGGCCGAATAATATTGCACGCCCCACTTTTCAGTTTTTAATTTTTTTTTAAAGTTTAAATTATCCAATAAATTTCGTTCCACTTCACGATTGTGTCCCACTTGTTGTTGATTCATGACAAAAAATTAAAATTGTATATCTTTATGTTTGAAGACTGAAATGTGGCAAAATGTTGAAAGGTTCAAGGGGGCCGAATACTTTCGCAAGGCACGGTATACAGTATGGGCCTCAAGCGATCCCCTCTAAATGAATGAGAGGAGGAGGAGGAGGGGGAATGGGTGGTAGACAGAAGCTTGTATGGCCGTGGGTCAGTGATTTACGGCTTGTGATATCAACTGCTTCGTTCAAAATAAATTTGTGATTGAAAGAAATATTGCATCATATACATCACCTTTTTTAATTGTAAAACGGTTAAGGGAAAGTAAGCCACTTCTGGCGAAGTCCACTGGTCTTGCCGCGTTTCATATGGATCCAAATCTCCGATCACTCTCAATTGCTCCAAGTAGCTTGCCTTAGATTACGTTCATTGAATCAATATACTTAACGCGGTCACTGACCGCGTTAAGTATATTGTAAGTATAAGTATATTGTAAGTATAAGTATATTGTAAGTATAAGTATATTGAAAGCCACAAATTTGTGGCTTTAGATGACACGGGGACAAACGATTCGTGAAAAATTATATGTGACCAATGATCTGTGCAAAACAAGCTTGACACACAACATGGCATACACGCAAAGCATCATGGGTAATACGCACATGGCGAAAAACCATCTATACATGGATAACATTAATACATGATTTTATGTTGTATTGTTTTTTTGTGAAAAGAAAATTTGTCCGTGGCACAAAATACATAATACATTTTAATTGAGGTGATTGTGCAAAATGAACTTTTGGGAGCTTGTGATTGATGTGCGTGTTGTGCATGTGATGGACTTACACAGATTTCTAAGTGATTCCTGCAATCTACATGCATTATTATACACATCCTAAGTGTAGAGTAAATCTCAGCTTTCCACTCCCTCAACCCGTAGTTAGGTACAGATAATAACGGTATTGAGCAAAAAAACCTAACAATCGGTTTACGAGCCATTTCGAAACGTAAAAACATGTTTGTTTAAATTATGTTTCACAATAAACAAAATGCTAAATAATAATTGAATTATACATATAGCAACTCCAGGGGCAGATTTCAGCCTGTGCTGATCTTTTTATTTTGGAAAAACAATCAATTATTCATTCAGTCTGTTTGATTTTGAACTTACCGCTAATTGCAGCTGGATTTTCTTTGTTTTTGTGTTACCTATGTTTTATAAGACAACACATCCAAACGCAGCTGCAGCTGGGTTTTTGTTTGTACACAATGACAGGGTTTACTGAAGTTTAAAGCATGTCATAGTTTAAACCATGACTCACCCAAAAACATCTATGGCTCACGCCACGCAGCACATCTATTTCATGATTGCATTTTATGATTGACACCATCTCTCCGGTGTCACAGATGTATTTGTCTTCCCATGACAGTGCCTTACAACTTAATGGCATACACTTTTTTGTTTTAATTTGAATTTTTTTAATCCAGGCTGGTAAAACCACAACCCAAGGTTGTCCAGGACAGAGCCCCCAGCTGGGATCCATCACTGCTTTCTTCAGCACTGAGGCCTCACAATGCAACATGACAAGGGGGTTTCTTTGAGAAAATAAGAAACAGTTAGTTTGTTAACTAAGTTCAAGCTACTTCAATTAAAACATTCTACAAGAAATATATTTATTTCATGATCAAAAATATCTAAGAAAGGGGGGCACAGCAAAAAGTGATAAAATGTTGTGTAGAAATATTTCCCTTGGAATGAGAAAACAAAGCAAAACAAAAAACTGGAAATACGACTAAATAGCATGTATTAAGAATGTATTCAGAATGTATTCAAAAAATAGACTTGATTCAAGCTTTTATGGACGCATATTTTTTATTATTCTTTTTTGCGTTTGTGGAAACTTTTTAGAATATGGGTTGCACAGAAACGTCAACAGAGACCAGGTCTGGCTTAAAGCTTTAATCGTTCACCTTAAACTGACGTACAGCGATTGTTGGAAGTCCAATTTGGGATTTTAAAAACATTTTTTGTATTCTTTATTGCCAGGACACAGCTGTCTGTGGAGGGATGAACTTCGCCCGAGATGTGGCGCGACAGACCAGCTCTTATACTTATGTCATAGAAGATGAAGCACCTGGACTGGCGAGTCTGAATATATTTGGGGTCAGTATTTGTGTACTTACAAATATTTAAGTTAATTCATGGTTATCAATCTTTTTTATTTTTTCCCAAAACCACAAAATGTCACAAATATTCCACTAAACTCACAAGTGATGGATTTTATCTTAGATAGAAAAACACATGCTCCACTATACATGTACTTAAATAGATCTATACAAATGTTGTTGCTCTGTGTTGTGATTTTACAGTTGGCAGAGAAGGGTGACCTGGCCGTCCTGGAGAGCCAGGTGAGGAAAAGCCCCGAGCTGCTCAAAGAGAAAGATGAACAAGGAGCTGGTCCTCTTCATCATGCTGCTGCAGAGGGCCATGTCTGCCTCATCCAATTCATCATATCTGTCGACTCAGAGCGTAAGCCCCACTCCACCATCCATCTCAGCTAACCTGCTGGAAAATATTTGCGTCACAATGTCTTCATGAAAACACCATCAGATCACTTCCAGCATTGGCTTTCTTCAATTGCAGAACACACATCACAGTCACAACATCAAATGCCAGGCAAACGAGTTGTGCTTTATCAATGTACTTAATATCTACAGTACTTGTGTCTAATGGTCAAAAGTTAGAAATCTTTCAATAAGCATGGGTAGCATCTTCTTTGGGTATAATTCAAAGTTGCTATTTGCATAGTTCAGATCTATTGGTCAGACTGGTTTTGGGGGGGAAAGGCAATTTGCCCAGTTGTGTTTTTGTGTATACGCTGTTTGTATTTTCCCAGTGTTGAACAGCAAAGATGAGCAGGGGAATGTGCCGCTGCATTGGGCAGTGGAAAAGAACCAGGCGGAGAGCTGCAAGGCCCTAATGGACCTGGAGGCTGATCCAAACATCCTCAACAAATCTCTGCTGGCACCACTGCATCTGGCTGTGAGCAAGGGCCACAACAACCTCATTGAGGTCAGAAAGAATAATGTACACAACTATTGTCTGTGACTGTTGAACATGACACTGCTGACATTCTTGACATGAGTGCAAAATATGTACATCGCATCGTTTGTTTCAGTTGTTCATATCATACAGCAGAACAGATCTCAACTTTGAGGGAGACCTGGGGAACACTCCTCTAATACTGGCCAGCTGCATTAACAACTCTGAAGCCCTGAGCATCCTGGTAGGAAACTGCCAAACTTCAAAACAGTGACATAGAAAGTATATACTGTAGACTGAATGTGTCTGAGTGATGTCGAGACCTAATCTGCACTTTGTGAGTGAAGAGTCACTTGCAGTGGGCTGATGGACACATGACAGTGTGTCCTTGACAAGTGCCCGCAGCTGTAGATCTGTTTCTGACATCTGTCTATGTCGCTATTCATTTTCTATTGTCACAGATAAAGAATGGAGCCAAGCTCTGCCACCAGAACCGGCTGGGTCACTTCCCAATCCACGCAGCTGCCTTTTCTGGTTCAAAAAAGGCGATGGAAGTCATCCTCAAAGCAGGTACAGTAACATTGATCATGCAACTTTACCTTAGAACTCCATGCGAGCCTTAGCAAATTATAGATTTTTGTTTTGTGAAGGTGACGAGATTGGTTATGGGCCTCTGAAGCAAATTAGCTACCTGGATAAAAGTAAAAGTAGCCCCCTCCACCTGGCTGTCCGTGGTGGTAACCTGGAAACCATTCAGTTGTGCCTCGAAACTGGAGCAAAAGTGGACCAGCAGCAGGTGCAAACTTCTGGAAAATAAGTGTTGTTGGTTTTGATTAAATTTGCATAAACTATTTGTCTAATAGTTATGGAAACGTGCCAAACACAGACATTCATTTGGTAATCAAAACATTTGTTTTCACTCTGTCATGTTTATATTTGCACCTGGCACCCTTTAAATACACTGTTTACAATATATATAACAATTGTATGATTTTGCTTTAGGCCTTCAAAGATTCACCAGTATGAGTAGTGACAACAGGCTAAATTGATACAAATTAGTTTCTCTTGGACTGTAAGTGGAGCCACGGCTGGCCTCCTCCTGCCAATCCTGCTTATGTCATATTATTTTCTTTAGTCACTGTTAACATTGTTTATACTATCAAGACTTTTTCGTAGGGCTGTAATTAACGATTATTTTGATTGATCAAGTAGTTGGTCAATTATTCTTTCAATTAATGAATCAAGTGATGCCACTGGAGAACATCTTCATACTGTAGAGATGACTTGCTACACTTTGGGTTATCTGAGTCACAAAACATGTTTAAGTTTATGTAAGGTTCAAAAAGTAATTCCTATCAGTTTTACTACTTGCTCTTGTTCCAAATGTGAATCTGTATTAAATGCACTAAATGCTGATGAATACATACAGTGCCTTACAAATGTATCAATACAACTTGAACATTTGCACATTTTGTCATGGTTTAGAACAGATGCTAGAATGGCCCATACATAAATCTAATTTAAAAGTGCTGTTCTTATCTGCTGAATTAGCTATTTGTGTTCTTTGTTATAGTTTGTTTTGAAAAAAATCACATTAATTAAATGTATTATCATATATTGTATATTATTTATGAGTCACTAATCAATCTATCTGCACAGAACGACAGGTCCACGCCGCTTCATCTGGCCTGCACACAGGGCGCCCTTGAAGTTGTCAAAATCATGTTGTCTTCAGTTGATCAAGTAGCCGACATTATTAATCTAACAGACGGAGCATCCCAGACACCACTGCACAGGTGCACAATGACCTAACCCTAACTAAGCCAATAGCTGCATACATGGACATTTTCTGCCTACATTCTCCTCTTGCAAACCTCATTGGTAGTGGTTATGCTAAGATAAAGGACTATTTATAGTAAATGGGATGTGTATTGATATTTGATAGTACAGAGTCATATAATCAAATTGACATTACTGACATCATCTTTAACAATAGAGTGATGCCCATGTCCCATATCAAACTAAACCACTTACCACCTGGATTGATAAACATACTCTAAAGTGCTTAATTTAGAACCAAACCAGGACAGGACAGAATTTATAACACATACAATATAACACATATGTCAAACCCAGTATTTATGGTTTTATTATTTAATAAAATGTACTCTTTACTCTTTCAGGGCAACAATATTTGACCACACAGAGTTGGCTGAATATCTCATTTCATTGGTAAATTATACAAATTACTTTTTTGACTGATGAAATAGGACATTCTTTTCAAACATGTGAAAATGATTAATCATATTTCTGCCAGGTATTTTTAATTCCCTATGTGATCATATATTCAAATCCGCTCTCTGCATACTAACTTTTTTCCTGCTCCTCTCATCAGGGTGCAGACCTGGACAGTGTGGACTGTAAAAGGAACACTCCACTGCTTTTGGCCACAAGCTGTGGATCATGGAGGATCGTGGCTCTGCTTCTCTCAAAAGGCAAACCATCACTTGTGTCCCGATACAATGGTATGGGAGTTGGAAGTAAATAATGTATATATTTATCTGTTTTCAGGGGCCAGTGTTCATGTACAAGACATACGCGGATGCAATTTCCTCCATTTAGCTATTATGCAACCTAAAGGGCTGAAGAATCTGCCTGAGGAAGTCCTACAGGTAAAGCTGATGTAATTAAGTTGAATATCAACTTAATTAATTCATAAATTCAGTTCATCATAATATGTAGAGAACCTGATAAACAAAGTAATAATTCTTTAGCTAGCTCATTTGTGTTTGCCATACACAATATTAACATATTTGATGTGATATTCAATTAACGTTGTAAAATAGTCATTATAAAAGTGTTGATGCAAAATATAAGCTCATGCTATAATTAGTTTGTTCATTATTATAAACATTCATTAAAGGGGCAGTAACAAAATATTGTGTTGCAATATTTCGGTGGTTAGTCAAGTAATTTGTTTTGTACTTTTGCTGAACTATAATATAGTACATGTCAGATTGACTAGGAGCATAGTTATAAACTTGACTAGGATTTCTACGACACCAGACAACATATATAAAAATAAAATTGGAATATATTGTGTTGCGATATATTGGTATTGCAATATGTATCGCATCAGGCCTATGTATCGCGATACGTATTGCATCACGAAATTAGGCCTATTTATGAAATACGTTATTTCTGTTTATAGCTTTTGTTGATGATGCCTGACCCAAGCACTATTGTTTTGTTTTTTTTATGTATCAATTATGATCATAGTATGTCTTTTAACATGTGCTAACTTTAGCTGGGGAGTGTAAAGTTGTTGCTGAGTTCCGAGGACAGTGAAGGCTGCACACCTCTGCACTACGCCTGCAGACTGGGGATCCATGACTCCATCAAAAACATGCTGGGTTTGTCTGGACAAAGTGGCCTGGAGTACAAGTCCAAAGACAAGAAGTCAGGCTTACACTTTGCTGCTCAGTAAGTTCCTCAAAATCCTCATAATGCCTACAAACAGAAAAAATATAAATGTAGAAATTATGTTTGTCAAGGCCAAACGAGAAGTTACAAGGAAGCTTAAAGGTCCCATATTACGCTTTTTTTCATGTTTCACAGGCATACTGTATGTGTGATAATCATTTGAGTGATACATCATACAACACTTAAAACTTGTGAGATTATGGCCATCTCTTGTATAGAGCTGATGTCACCTCGACTGATTCAGAGAGAAGTCTGCTCCTCTGCCTCTGTGAGCCCGCCTCCCTCCACTCGCACAGTGACGTAGCATCACGCTCTGAGTTGTTTATCACCAGTACATAGTCATTTCAGACATGAGAATATACTTTTTCCAACAATGACAATCCGTAACATCGAACCCTATTTCCTCGATCCACAATTAGACCCTAATTATTTAGTTTACAAAAGTATACTTTTTATTTACACCCCCCGCCTCCCTCTACCTATTCATCTTGCTCCCTCCCTCCCCTCCACTCCTCATTGTGTTTCCGGCTCACCCCCTCCCTGACCCTGCCCCCTTCTGAAAGCCACATTGGGCCGGCAGTCGGAGGTGCTCATCCCGAGAAAAAAATCCGTGGTTTATACAAAGCACAATGTGTCTATCCAATTGTCTGTGAAACCAAGGGCGTAGGTTTGCGTGGGGACCATGGGGACATGTCCCCACCAATATTTGGTGAGGACTAAAAAGTCCCCACCAAAATGACATGATGTCCTGTGACCCGGACGGTCCGGGACACATGTCTTCCGTTTGTGCATACGTAGTGCCTCCTCCTCGCCTCCAGAGCAACAGCAGCAGCAGCAGCACGTGACCGTTCCGTTCTCTGCAGTGATTGGCTGTCTTCTTCAGCGCCAAACTGAAGCACTGAGCAACTGTTTAATTTTTAAAAGTTAGCCAGCGTGAAGCAAGTGTTTTTTTTCGTTCCCTGAGCGTTGTAGCACGTGAGTAATCAGAGGAAAGTACTGTAGATCTATCACCATTCAAAGTACTTACGTTATTTCTAATCTGTCAGCGCACTGTTTAATGTTCCGAGGAGCTCACACGGCATACAGAGACAGAACAGAACTGGCTCCAATAAAGAAACAGGTTGGTTGAAAGGCTGAAAAAATTCTTATTGTGCTCTTACTATCCAAAATGTATAAGTGGGTGTGTTGTGTGAATCAGGATAAACTAGGGATGAAAATATTCCACGGATCCACGATTTACAACCTTTATTTGCTGATAATGTAATTTCTGTGAAATGTGTGACAGCGGGCACTTGCTGTTATTTGCTCTAAGCACATTCAAGCGATGCACTCGAATGTGCACGTCCTGGTGCAGCTGCTGCCGCTTTGTAATGACAGCCACGGCGCTCAGTGAAAGCACAGCTCTAACATGGTACCGAGCTCGGACCATATGCAGACAGAACCATGTTGCAAGTGCGGGTCTCCCTCGTATCTTCCCCGTTTCTCCTCTGTGTCTCTGACATGTCTCTCCCCTGACTCTTCCCAAAGCGCAACCAGCGCTCCCGAAATTAAAGCTCGGATACCTAAATTTTCCATTGCGTTAACGATGCATGCTGGTTGTGCGCAAAACACACCACAACAGGTCATTTAAGTTTTTATTTTGCATACTTGAGAGCCCTGTGAGTCATTACTTGCCTTTTTGGGTTGAGAGTGGAATAAAAAAAAGAAAATATAGAAAAATCCACACTGTTACTTATTGCCAAACTCTTGTTAACTCATTGTATTGAGGAATACTATGTAACTTTTGACATTAGCCAAGTTATATAAATGATTCTGCAGTTCATGTATATGAATGTCTGTTTTTGATTGTCTATACCTTCTTGTATAATTTAGAAAAAATGCCACCTCCACAAATAAGATAAAAGATATCAGGAGCTTTTTTAACAGTTGGAAAGTAAGTAAGAGAAAGCACAAGTAATAGCAAATTATGAATTGTGATGATTAATCTTCTGTTAACATACATAACTGCTTCTCATTCAGTCTACAGCTGAGTTTAGTATAGAAGGCAACACACTATTGCAAATATAGTGTGTGATTACACAACAAATTCTGGGGGAGAAACTCTGGACCCCGTGTCAATGGGTGTAGACTCAGGTCGTAGTGAATGTCCCCACCAAGATTGGAACCAAACCTACACCATTGTGTGAAACTGTATGTTATTGCTCTCTGCTGTTTCTTGCTGCACACAGCGCCGCAAATGGCAAAGTGGCACGCTCTCTGCCAAAACAATTTCCAAGTGGTAACTTTGTTACTTACGTGGCAATAAAAATGATTCTGATTCTGATATATGGCGAGTTAGCGTCACTGTACTTACAGATCGGGGGCCCTGTGTTAAGTCTTCTATCGTATGAATAACACTGGTTCCCAGATTAGTTTTTGAGTAAGTCCAGTTCCATTGTCTCTGTAGTTCTGGAACAGTCTCAGTGAAGTGTCGCAGATGAACAGATTCATTCAAACAGAAGCAGATCCCCTTGAGTCGAGCCGCTTTCTTCCTCTTCGGGCCAAATAGTGCATCACATATTTACACCCAAAACACATTTCATCCAAGTTGACGTGATCCTAAAACTTTTAGTCGCTGACAAAAGTAGAAAAACAGTAGCTCCATGTGGTGACCGGGGGACCAAACCACAGACATACGCTTAACTGGCTGCGTGCTCTGATTCGCTGTTTCAATCACCTCCTGGCTATAATTTTATTTTTATTATTTTCTACAACAAACAGCATAAGTTTGTGTAAGCTCTCAGTCGTACAGGGATTTGTCAAAGCAAAGAAAGTTTTAGAGTAAGTCCTCACCCATCATCTGTACTTCCTAGCAAGTTTTCCCGACGTTTCGTCCTTAATCCAAAGAACTTTTCCAAGGGAATGAAATCTCAGACCACGCGTCGGAGATTTATAACCTATGGGTGTGGTTAGCCACACCCTAATCCTAAAGGGCTATCTCATTAACAATCTAAGGTCTGTTTGATGTGGAAGGGAGCAGGTCAAACGACCCTGCTAGGGCTAACGATCCTAACTCATGTCACAGACCTATTGTCGGCTGAGATTGCTTGGGTGGAGTGCAGGTCTACCCACTCCTAACTCATTAGCACGTCACTGACCTTAACTCTAGTTAGGGCATCTATGACGACGTCCTAAAAACGACGCGCGGTCCGAGATATCATTCCCTTGAAAAAGTTCTTTGGATTAAGGACAAAACGTCGGGAAAACCTGCTAAGAAGTACAGATGATGGGTGAGAAACCTTCCTTTGCAACAAGCAAAGGAAGGTTACTTTTGTGTATTTTTTACCCTGTTTTGACAAAAGTATTTAAAAACCATTTTAAATACAAAGCAAAAAGGGTTATGCGCGTCATATTCGTCATCAGCGTGGTAATTGTCACAGATGTGGACCCCTGCTTCTCGAAGGGTGTAGAAGACAGATCGCTCTCTAACTAAAGATTGACAGAATTAATGAAAAAACTACTCTGGGCATGTGTATGAAGGCCAAATAGCACAATAATCATGTTTAAAGCAGAGAAATGTAAAAAAGCGTAATATGGGCCCTTTAAAAACATTGTTCAAAAACGAAATAATATCTCTTAAAGGAGCATTATGTAAAAATCTGGCCAAAAGTGGTACTGCAGCCTCTCCCACTCTCCCTGACACAGGTTGCCAGATACACACCAAATCCAGCAGCAAACACAGGGAATTATTTTATCAGTTGTTAAAATTGTTGTTGAATGAATGAATGAATGTTTTGAATGAATGTTTTTTTATTTATTTTTTTATTTGGACATTTGAGGATAGAATAGGAGTGGAAAGAATGGATGTTGAAACCAGTGGGGGAGGGTCCCAGTTCAAAAGTGCCCAAAATGACGTGCGCTGACATGCTTGCAATACCACCCCGGGCCGATGGGGGTGGACCCAGAAGAAGAATTAGCCAATGCTAACATATATAGCGTTGGCAGACCTCTCAAAAACGTCTTTACAGGATGGACCAAAAGTTGGTTCTTGGCCCAAAGCTCCGTTCCACATGTGTGTCAATGCTGAGGGGGGTGAATTTTTTTGGTCCACTCTAGTTTACTCGCTGTGAATTTTTTAAGTCTCTCGTTCAAATGAATGGAGCTGCGCCGGCTGACGCATGCGCAAATGCGTTTTTTCACAATTTTCTTGTGGGCGGGACCACTCGCGGCCATCTTGGATTGCTCCATGAAAGCACTTTTCATGGCCAACTCAATGAACGGCGGAGATAGGCGTGACTCTGTCCGTTATTATATACATTACAGTCTATGGTTGAAACCTATTTCTTCAGCGTATCAACATCAGGGTTTCCTCCAGTGGATATCACCCTTCAATTTTATTTATTCCCTATTTTTTTGTATAAGTCCCACTTCAAAAAGAAACTAACGTTATTTTAATTGGGGTACATGTGGTCTCAAATGATTCTCTTTACAATGAAGTAATAATCTGCAAAAAAGGTCTTGAATTATGTCTTTTTTTTTTTTTTTGAGCATTCACATAGAATGTGATATTATATAATTAAATACAAATGGTTTCCTCCCGGACCCGAACCCGGGTTACTGGGGTGACAGCGCTATGGCTAAACCATTACACCACCATTGAAAACAATGATAAGTAAAAACAAAGCACGTAGTTTAACTGTCAATGAAGAACGCAGTGAAGAATTTGTATCCGCTGCCTCAATTTTTCAAAGGCGTCCCGATATAAATACTTGCTTTAGTCTTTGGCCTTTAGTGTTTTGTCATTAATGATTTGAGAGTCATAATAAGACCTTTTTTAGTTCTGCGGCCACATTAGCTAGCCGCAGTGAGTTCTGGCAACCCGGAACTCTGACTTTCTGACTGGTGAAACGGCGGAGGATGAGACACCGAAATGAAAACAATAACAACTTTTACGGGTCGTAAAACAAATTTTGATATTCAAATATCTCGGCTGTAAGATGTATTCGAAAAAAGAGCATGATTTAATAACGCCTTTTGAAATATTGGGGCCATTTAATGATGACTTGACATGCAAATATTACATAATGCTACTTTAAAATCCATGTCTAAATTGGTTTTCACCTAGTATTTTCACCTACGGCAGACAAATAATATACATAACCTAAATAGATCTCCCAAGAATATAACAAATTGCAAAGCCTACTAACTTCAAGAAAAGCAAATATTGATTTCTAAAATGTAAACCAAATAAAAGACAGTGCTCAAGGATCTGTGAGAAGAGGATGTTATTCCTCCCTCTGAAAGAACCAGCTGCAACATTTAATCTCTTCTGTTTAAGTGGATTAAATCTTTCAATGATGTACGATAGATATGGTCGTTTCAACACATGCCAGCGCCTCCTGGAGAACCTTAAGGACTCTCGCCTGTTGAATGAGGGGGACGAGCACGGGTACACTCCCCTGCACCTGGCCTCTGCTGGAGGACACACCAACGTGGTGCAGCTACTGCTGCGCAAGGGGGCGCTCTTTCACTGGTAAAACCTCAGTCAAGATTAAGGACAGACTGCTTATAGGAATTGAAAACAATATCATAATAAGTGTGAGGACTTTAATTATTGTGTTATTCATTTGTGACACATTGTTGTTGATCATTGTCTGCAGTGATTATAAGGGCTGGTCCTGCCTGCACCATGCTGCCTCTGAAGGCTACACTAAGACTATGGATATTCTGCTTTCAGCAAATATTAAACTTTTGGATAAAACAGATGAAGATGGGGTAAGCTAACACTTTTATGATTACTGATAGGAACAAAGTTTTATTTCAGACTATATCTATAGAACACAGCAATGCACATAGCTGCCAGAGAAGGTCATGTGGCTGCAACCAAATTGCTGCTGTCCCGTGGCGCTGAGATGATACTGAACAACAACGAGGCATCTTTCATGCATGATGCGGCACAGAATCTGAAGAAAGAGGTAGTCAAGGCAGTGATAGACAGTAACAGGTGAGTAGTTAGAAATGCTATTGATCAAATGATTGAAAAGGAAAGAATGAACTAATGTGCTGTGCTTCAGATGTGCAGAGGCCCTCACTACGTTTATCCCCGGTGGAACACAACAGTGTCCAGTTCTGGACTTGATTGAACACCTCCCTGAGAGCTGCAAGGTGTGCGACTACAGAACAATCTGTGGCATGATTTTGATTGCTTGAATTTAGAGAAATCCATTAAAAGTGGAATGGTAGTCAAACAATGAGTGGTTTGCTATGGAAAATTGTAAACCACACATTGAATAGAGTTGTAGGCTTAGGTTTCAAATGTAATGCAATGAGTCATAAAATGCAAATGCATTGGGTCAAAACTATAGACTTTCTATTAAGGCAGACAATAGAGTAAATCAGCCCTTTTCAGCAAAATCTGCGTGCTTCACATTGGTCAGTATTAAGATGGCTTTTATCAAAATTGTGTTTGAATGTGTGCCTGCAAACTGATATCAACCAATGAGTATACTTTTGATTGTGTATTGCCCAGAGTTTTAATTGTATTTTCTAATTACTGTTTTTCAGCACCTGTTGGACAGCTGTGTGAAGGAATCTGACCATGACCCCAATAATCCAGACTTCCATGTAAACTACACAAAGCAACTGGCAGTAGTCATGTTGCAATAAACGTTTAAATAATATTTTTCCGTTTCTAGATTACTTATGATTTCAGATGGCTCCAAGCACCCTTGGAAGCAAGAAAGCATTCTTTGATGCCAGCCTTGGGACCTTTAGCTTCTCTTAATGTAGGACACATTACTTATAATTTAGTGCAGTGTTTTTCAACCTATGAGCCAAGGCACACTTTTTTCATGGAAAAAAAAACCAGGAGATGTAAATGTAAATAAATATACTCTGTAGCCTATATTCACAATACAAAGTCATTCTCATCAAAGTGCTTGAATTTCCAGGCCTTGACATTAAGGTTTGTTTAATATTTCTCAATACAAAGAGTTAGCAAGAGTTTGGGAATAAAGTGGCACTAATTGTGTGGGAAAAAAACCTTTTTAAAAATCCATTCTCAACTCTCACGAGTCCATGGTTCTGTCTGGGCGTCTCAGGTTCTATTTCGCGCGTCCATGGTTCTGTCCACGCGTCTATGGTACGCGCTCGGTACTACAGATGTGCGTTTGCTGAGCTGTTATCAAACCCGCTCTCAGTGCAACGCGGCCACAGCTGCCCAGAGGTCAGAGCGGAGGATGTGAATCCTGTTCAGAAATGGCATAATTCCTTTTCAAAAACGTCTCAATCACTTTCACTTCTCACTCGCCACAATGCTCCCCGCTACCTGCTACATCCTGTGGTTGCGTCCAATTCTTACGTTTCAAAGTACTTAGTTAACTGTTGTCACCTACTGATATGAAAAAGTATTACGTGGTTACTCCACAGTTCAAGACAAGTCAGCACTCGCCAACGGTGGATGCATTTATTTTTAGACAAAGTAAGCGAATTTCTCACGGCACACCGTACAATATCATACAGCAAACTAGTGTGCTGCGGCCCAGTGGTTGAAAAACACTGGTTTTAGTGTACACAACAAGAAAAAAACCTATTTTCTCATTGCAGTCAATGGTCAAACACAATCGGATTGAACTCCTCAATCACCCTGTGTGCAAGAAGTATCTGGCAATGAAATGGTACGCAATTAAGCTTTAAGATGTGCTGTTTTTTCACATACGTAATAAGAACATCTCTGATTTGCAGGGTGGCATATGGGAGCATTGCTCATGTACTTAACATGTTCCTGTACCTGCTTGGTCTTCTGCCTCTCACTCACCTCATAGTGTCTTTGAGACCCACATATAACATCACAGAGACAGGCGAGCATGTCGTTACAATGGTGCCCATTTGTTTCTATGAGGTAAGCAATGTGTACATCCACAAGAGGAGAACCCCCCACCCTCAGGCCCCCTTTAACGCCTTTAAGATAAATAGTCATAGTTAAATAGAAGGTATTATATTGAAATCGAACATTTTGATCCAATCCAAACATGACTGAACTAGTTCTGTTTAGATTAATCAACCAAAATATCCAAACTTTGTACAATGTAAAATCCTTTGGTCAAAATTCTTCCATAATGTAAAGGAAAATAGATACATTTGTATTAACCACATATGTAACATAGGAGCTTTAAACTCGTAACATTATGATGGATACTTTGGAACAGCCTAAAAATGGGCTTTTTTACACTAAACCAGCATATTTATTTTGTTTTATTTTTTGCAGCAAAATGTGTTCCTATCCATCTGCATGGTGATGGTGGTTGTCATGAACATCTACTCCATCTGTAAAGAGGTGGTGCAGATCTCTCAACAGGTACTTTAATGTCCATGTCGTGTCATTACGTCTCATAAACCATATACACATAAATCTACCCCTGGCCTGGTGTGGATGGACACCACTGCAATCAGTTGTGATGGATCAGCACTCTCCTACTCCCATTTACAGGATCATCCCACGGCCAAGTGTCAAAGTCACCTCCACAAACTCCTTGTTCATGCTACATGTTCAATACAACTAATATATTCTATACCACTTTTTTGTCTAAAGCGCTGGAGTTACTTCAAGGATACTTCTAATCACAGTGACTGGTGCTGTGCCATATGTTCTCTGGGATTTGTGATTCCCCTCATGCTAAATGCTCAAGGGTCATTTCACTGGCAGGTTGGGGCCATTGCCCTATTGCAATCCTGGGTGGGATTCCTACTTTATCTGCAGCGGTAAACTTAATATTAAAACTATATTAAAAAACAGTTGCCCTGGTCCATGATGGAGCTTATTTGTGTGTGTTTGCTTATTATGTGTTTAGGTTCGAAGACATTGGTATTTATGTCGTAATGTTTGGAGAGATCATGAAGACCCTTGTCCGCATTGTAATGGTCTTCTTGTACCTGCTGTTGGCTTTTGGACTGGCTTTTCATGCACTTATGCTCAACAAGGTAATTTCAATGTCAACTCTAGATGTATTATTTATTTGAATCAATTAACAATACATTTAAAAGTGCAATACAATTATGAACTAGCGCCAGTAGTTCACAGGTGTCACAGGTGTCCAAACATGTGGACTGCATCCACAGGCAAATTGTGTTGGTGGCCCACATACAATTTAAAAAGCATTGATAGGAATAGGTTAATATGTTATACATAATTTTAACAAAATTCTCAAGAAAACAACAAGCTAGCTGCTGTTCACCCCACAATATTTAGCATTTCAACTCATTTTGTGAAAAAATTGGCTGTGTGGCGATGGCCTATATGTGCATGTGCATGGGTTTTTGGCTGCCTATAGTCATATCTGTATCACTAAAAATAATGTTAAGGCAGAGTCCCAATTCACTCAGTTGGCTAGGGGGCAGAACCATTGAACAACAATTTGGGGCTCTTTATTGACCTCTTTGACATACACACACACATTTTTGCCTTCATATAATCAACAATACATGTTCATTGTTTTCCCCAGAAAGAGTTTGAAAGTGTCCCGCTTTCTATTGTTCAAACCTTTGTGATGATGGTTGGTGAACTGAACTACCAAAACAACTTCTTGGACCCATATATGAAAGATGAACTGCCTTTTGGGCTCCTGACGTATTTCATATTCATTAACTTTGTCTTGCTAATGCCCATTCTGTTAATAAACCTAATGGTAAGTGTGACATACAGTGCCTTGCGAAAGTATTTGGCCCCCTTTAACCTTTCAACATTTTGCCACATTTCAGGCTTCAAACATAAAGATATAAAAATTACATTTTTTGTCAAGAATCAACAACAAGTGGGACACAATCGTGAAGTGGAACGAAATTTATTGGATAATTTAAACTTTTTTAACAAATAAAAAACTGAAAAGTGGGGCGTGCAATAGTATTCGGCCCCCTTGCGCTAATACTTAGTAGCGCCACCTTTTGCTGCAATTTCAGCTGCAAGTCACTTAGGGTATGTCTCTATCAGTTTTGCACATTGAGAGACTGGAATTCTTGCCCATTCTTCCTTGAAAAACAGCTCGAGCTCAGTGAGGTTGGATTTTAGAGCGTTTGTGAACAGCAGTCTTCAGCTCTTTCCACAGATTCTCGATTGGATTCAGGTCTGGACTTTGACTTGGCCATTCTAACACCTGGATATGTCTATTTGTGAACTGTTGGAAGATAAATCTCCGTCCCAGTCTCAGGTCTTTTGCAGACTCCAACAGGTTTTCTTCCAGAATGGTCCTGTATTTGGCTCCATCCATCTTCCCATCAATTTTAGCCATCTTCCCTGTCCCTGCTGAAGAAAAGCAGGCCCAAAGCATGATGCTGCCACCACCATGTTTGACAGTGGGGATGGTGTGTTCAGGGTGATGAGCTGTGTTGCTTTTACGCCAAACATATCGTTTTGCATTGTGGCCAAAAAGTTCGATTTTGGTTTCATCTGACCAGAGCACCTTCTTCCACATGTTTGGTGTGTCTTCCAGGTGACTTTCTATGGATATCTTTGAGAAATGGCTTTCTTCTTGCCACTCTTCCATAAAGGCCAGATTTGTGCAGTGCACGACTGATTGTTGTCCTATGGACAGACTCTCCCACCTCAGCTGTAGTTATCTGCAGTTCATCCAGAGTGATCATGGGCCTCTTGGCTGCATCTCTGATCAGTCTTCTCCTTGTTTGAGATGAAAGTTTGGAGGGACGGCCGGGTCTTGGTAGATTTGCAGTGGTCTGATACTCCTTCCATTTCAATATAATTGCTTGCACAGTGCTCCTTGAGATGTTTAAAGCTTGGGAAATCTTTTTGTATCCAAATCCGGCTTTAAACTTTTCCACAACAGTATCTCGGACCTGCCTGGTGTGTCCCTCAGTCTTCATGGTTCTCTCTGCGCTTTAACCAGAACCCTGAGACTATCAAAGAGCAGGTGCATTTATACGGAGACTTGATTACACACACATGCATTCTATTTATCATCATCAGTCATTTAGGACAACATTGGATCATTCAAAGATCCTCACTGAACTTCTGGAGTGAGTTTGCTGCACTGAAAGTAAAGGGACCGAATACTTTCGCAAGGCACTGTACATTCTACCTTTCATGACTGCCCCCCAACAACAGTAATGATGTTCAGCCTGTTGTTGTAGATTGGTCTGGCTGTTGGGGACATTGCTGAGGTTCAGAGGAATGCCGCTCTCAAAAGAATAGCCATGCAGGTTTGGTTTGTCCCAATTATGTATCACTTCATGTGATTTTCTTGTTTTAATCCTGCTGTGAATTGAGTTTACACAATTTAAAAGTCGTTTAGAACAAAGCAAGACTTGATTTAACTCTTGATGCAAAGTTGAAAGTAGTTAGTGGAACAATGTTATTGTTATGAGATTGTTCTTTTTGACAGATTGACCTGCACACCACCTTGGAAGAAAAGCTTCCATATTGGTTTGTGAAGCGAGTCGACAAAGTATCGAGCATTGTTCATCCCAACCGCAAGTGCTCTAAGGTAATTTAATTAACACCTTTTCGCTACCATCATTATCCATAATAATGTTAATATTGTTAATGTATGTATATAAATATAGCACATTCTATAGCTGAAAACATGAATGAATTTAGTGAATTTAACTGTTAGACATTTCTAATTAAAACCTAAATATATTATTTATCATAACATGACTATTTCAGGATTTCTGGAAAACGCTTTTCTGGGGTGAAAATATTGAACCAGTGTGGAGTCGCATGCAGGCCAAACCCTCGTCCTGCACAAAGATTGAGGATGAGTTAAAGAAGCAGAAGTACAGGTAAAATACTAAGTAAAGTTTATAAACCAAATTAATTTTATATTTTCATCAAATTGTACAAAATGTAAACGTATATGTATAAGCTCTTTATGTAACACATATGCATATGTACTCTTATTTTGTGTTGCGTGAGCTTAAATCTTATGTACTTTCTGTACTAGTGGTTTATGGAATGATGCATTAGCAGCCCCTAGTGGACATTGGCTCTTACTACATTATTTTACTATACTGTAAATGAACATTATGAATGTCACTGCTGTGTTTTTCAACAGAATGAAGGAAATGACAAGCAATCTCGAAAAGCAGCACAACCTCTTAAAGCTCATAATTCAGAAAATGGAGATCAGTGAGGAGGTCGACGAGTATGACGGCCCTATAAATCTCAAAGGAAGTATGTGGCCAAGCCTGGGCAAATGCAAACCCAAGACCCAGTCCGAGTCTCGCTGGGTGCCCCTGCTGAAAGCAATAGAAGCCAAAAAAAACAAATAACGTGTCTCATATCTCCAGTGTGCAATGTGATATGTACTATTTGTCTTTTATGGATGTGTGTTCTGGTGTGTTTTAATTAATGTCTACAGAATATATTTGGAATTGCAACTATTATCTACTTATAAATGCTGGTAAAGCATCGAATATAGCTCGAATTAACATAATAAATGCATGTTATTAGCAAAAAGGGTGTAGTTACTATCGTATACTATTTTAGAGTAGTTCCAAAGTGACAGTTAGATGGGGTTTGTGAAGTGATTTAAAGAGGTTAAATTATAAAATTATGTCACTGTGATATTATTATTATTCTCTATTACGAAACATAAAACGTGTCTTAGGAAAAAATAATATTCCAATAAAGAAAATGGTTGGGGTTGTGAGCTGATTTAAAACTTATTCGGGGCTATCGGCCTGCTATAGTACACAGCTTAAAAAGGTTTTGTCATTGTCAGAAATTCATACAAAATCTAGGTATTGATGTTCCACTGATGTCAATAAGCATTTTGTATAGTTTAACAAAACTATTCACATAATAGATATGTCATAGTGGGGATTTTGTGTTATTTTGTGCTTGGTTTTGATCTGACATTAATTTAGTTCTGTGGTTTTGTTTTAGTTTGACTCCTGTCCTGTTTTCCTGTGTTGATTGTCTGCCCCGCCCTAACGTGTTTCACTTGTGCTCCTCTTCCCTTGTTGCTGGCCCGTGGTTTGTCCTCGTCTGTTGGTTTCCTGGTTCCCATGTTCCTTTTGGATTTTGAATTTGTTTTTACCTTGGAATTTTGATTATTATCTAATTAAATCATTAATTTTTGGCATTACTGCATTTTTTGGTCCCTTTTCATCTCACAACATGACAAGATACCACACAATCACAGAATAAGAATGTCCAAACCAGTGATTCTTTAGACTATTATAAAATGAAATCTGGGTTGGAGCTCATAATAACAATCAAATTCAATCATAAACATGAAATTGGTACATATTTTATATGAACACAAAGCGATGCAGCTGTAGCTCTTCATCTTGGCCTCATGGAGGTCATGACCACTGAACGTTAGTGCTGACGAACAGATTCTAGTGCAGTTTTATTTGTTTTATTTATTTATGTGCATTTACCATACCATCACCCCCATTCTTAATTCCATACAGCCATCTATAGTACACATGTGAAACATACTTCAGAAACTGTAACTACACACACAGCTGATTGTGAGCTCAGTCTGATGTCAGGTGTCTGCATGAAAATGGCATAAAATCGGGGTTCGAGTTTATCGCGTGGATCTGGTCTTAGATTATGTCTGGAAGCAAGTGCTGTGAGGCGCCTGCCGTAGCTACACTGTATGAGGGATGTTCATTCAAATTATAATACAGCTGCACAATACGTACAGTACATTACATCGTGCAAAAGGAACATTCATTGGTCTGTGAAAGTTATGACGGTGTTATTTGACTTTACATTAAGTGTAATGTTTTTTCAGAAATTTTGTGTAAAATAGACAAACTCAACTGAAGGTGCATAAAAAACTAAACTACTAAAACCAATGACAGAAATACATGCATTTGTGGAACCCTAACCCAGTCAGGAGTTCATGTAGCAATTGTGCTACTTTGGCGCCTAAAGGGTTAAGAAAAGTCCAATATCTTTTCAAAGCATGATCAACAACAAAATACTTCTAAACTGAATCATCTAAATCTGTAAGGATAAATGAGTTGGTTTAGTGTGATTTCTTGTGGTGTGCATGGAGTCAGTTTTCAATGAAATCTCACACTTAGTTTAATGTACTAATAGTTATACACAAGGGTTTTCTAATTTTCAATTATCCATTTACATTAGCATTTCATTTCATCTTGACTGGTTGACTTTCTAACCTCTAGCTCCATTCACAGACTCACTCCTTATGCAGCAAACACTATTGGTAATTGATTTCAAACAGTTTGAACAAAAGTACAGTTTGGACTGAGTTTGGACTCCTCTGCCACACCCTCTCCATGCCAATACACCAGATGTCATGGGAACCTCCAACAGCTGTGGCCCGTGGATGAAGGCTGCGTGTGAAATGCCCCTCCAAGTGCAGAAACTCAATCCCTCTGTGAAACCAGCGTAGGATTAGGCACTTTTGATAAGGTCCTCAAGACATTTCTATTAGCTACACATCTGTGCCACACCAGTGAATGACAGGCGCTTTTCTGTCACTCTTATATTTACAAATAAGCTCTCTCAACAAGACACAAAATCACCTGATGATAAATAAGAATGAATTACACACGTTTGATTGAACATGAAAAATACCTATGTTTTGGAGGTGGAACAAAATGTGAATATCGAACCGATGGAGTTGGAAATGAATGATACATGAAGTGAAGTAGCCCTTGAATCCCTTTCACAGGAGTGTTGAGGTCATGGTAGCTCATAAAAGGGGAGGGGAAAACTAAAACTCCTCAAAAATTCCAACTCTGCCTGCTTAAATTGGAGGGGTGCAAACCAAAAGGGTCTTTGGAAGTAGTTGTATTTAGATAAGACTAACTCTTAGCTAATGTATCTCTATCACTAAAACAAAAGCATTTAGCCATCAGTGGATATTTGTTTTGTTTTCAGAAGTTATAAGTTTACATTTATTTGTATCGGGAGGTCAAGCAGTCATGTCTACAGGTTCACCTGGAAGTGAAACTGAGGAGTTCAGATCACGGAACAGACGGATAGCCACTGTCCCAGAAAGAAGCAAGAGAAAAGGCACCTGCTACAACAGGTGCTCCAGTCACCACCGGGAGGATGTCAGGGAGGAGCACACAGCACCCAAGGCTTACAAGGACTCACAACAGACGCAGAGAAATGCAGCTAACGCCAGAGAAAGAGCACGGATGAGGGTGCTAAGCAAAGCCTTCTCCAGGCTCAAGACCACCCTGCCCTGGGTTCCTGCGGACACCAAACTGTCCAAACTGGACACCCTGCGCTTGGCCTCCAGCTATATCTGCCACCTCCGCCAGCTGCTGCAGGAGGAGCGCCTGGACAGCTTCTCTCATCCGCTCACACTGGTATGGACGACACATAGGTGACACAAAAGTAACTAATGTACTTTTTGTTATTATGCTATAATGCCACAAATGTATCTGTCACCTGCGACAGACCATAGACACCTGTAGAACCATTATTTAATATTTTTTCTTTCAGCAGACATGGCCATTCATGATGAGCGGGCGCTCAGAAGACTCCTCAGAAGTGTCCTCAGGTCAAAGACTGTGTGGAGCCAGCGCATAGACGGTCTTCTCTCAAATGCAAAGATCTTGTTTATGTAAAAATTGGCCACTAACCTACTAACTGACTTTCAACACATGCCTATTTGCAACAGTTTCATTGTCGTGCATGTACTGTGTGCATTGCTCATGTTCAACAAAGTCATTTATTTATTACAGTGATATATGTTTTTGTATAAAAAGCTTGAAAAATAATGGCTCTCTAACTGCGTGTAATATCATATTGCCATCATCACACGGAACAAAAGACCGTGACAGTGGATTAGTAAAGCAGTGGACACAAAAAGCAGCTGTCCAATTCCTTTTGTGTGGAGCGCAGAATAAAAATGTCGAGACAGAGCTCACTACACTATCTACACTCAGATTTGTGTCACATCAAATTGATTTTCTGCCAGCAGGAAATGGTTGTCTCAGTTCCTCTCAGCAGATGTGGTTTTGGTCCAGGCGTAGACATAACACTAGGGTTTGAAAGATAGAGCGATTTCTTCTCTTTGACAGATTCCAAGTCACACATGGACACTGGGCTGACACTGAATGAAGTGGCTGGCTTCTTTTGATCCTTTGGTGGGAAAGACCATGAAATAGTGAGCAGCAATAGAGAGACAACCAGAGCTGACATTGACTGCATGACAAATTCAATTTAAGGACACACAGAGAGTAAGAATGTTTGGGAACAGGTAAAAACGTTCCTAAAGTTTTCTCAAGTCAAAATATTATAATATATAATATCTTCTTAAGTTTGAAAGATATCAAAAAACAAGACTATTTGTTATATATGAAGAAAAATTGTATAAAATAATGTTGGTATTATCTCAATTGATTAACAAGAGTTGTCTGAAGCATTGACAGTAAAAAGTTTATAATATTCATAATTACAAAACTGCAAAGTAAAAGTGTAAAAATGTGGGAGAAGAGCAGAGGCTTGTTGTCATCAGTTTGCTGGAGCTGCAGCTGTCGGACTTTTGGTAACTGGCAAGAGAAGAAGCACATTCTGATATGATTGTATGGAAAAAGAAAGTTAGATTGAAAAAAAAACTAAGAAAAAGGTTTGAGTTCTCCTTTTCCTTCTATACTTGATTTCAATTTTTTTGTAATTGTTAGTAGAAAGTAGAAAAAAATATATATATTTATTACTTGGTATAAAAGAAGAGAATCCATTCAGAAATATTGTCTACAAAAAGAAAAAATTCCGCAAAAAAATTAAGAAATAAAAAGGATAAAAATAGCAATTAATAATAGATAAAGGATTCGAGATTCAGGTCCCATTAAGTTTAATTCCACAACTCTACCGCCATCTAGGGGCTAAAGTAAAGAGCATTTTGACTCACAAGTCAAAATGTTCATCCATTGGGGCAACCAACAACACATCAGAAACAAACTCAACCAGGACACTACTACTGGTGGCCACAAACAGGATACAGACAGTATGTTAAAATACAATAAATACAGTTGGGATTATGTGAGTATTCTTGAATCTTAAAACTGTAGTGTGCAAAAAGAAAAGAAAAGGAAACGTCCCACAATAGAATATTTTTTGAGCATTTGAAAAATTATTTCATACCAAGTGGCAGTAATAAACCAAATATCATTTGATCATAATTATTTATTTTCGAATTATCATAAAAGAGCAATAATCTTTGAAGGTAAAATCTAATTTATTGCGTATATTTTTAAATGTTTGTTTGAACCAAATAGATGCCGACACACATCAAAAATGATACATGATACAAAATATGACCACTCTTTATGTTATACGTTATTTCAAGTTGTTTACAGTCTTTATCCTCCAGTCTACTGTTAAAATATTAGAGTAACATGTCATACGTCGACCAGTTGAAATGAGTAATCTTTTCAGTGACAGCAAAGCTTTCATGAACAGAGATGCTGAAGTGTTTGAGTCCAGCAGGGGGCTGTGTAAGCCCACGGTGGTCACAACATCATAGTTTGACGATCCCTACAGCCTGGTCTTTCCTCCTCCAAAGCTCCTCTGAGCTCTCTGTTAATCATTCCAGATATGACCCCAGCTGAAAAATGCTCAATTGCATTGTCAGCAATCACAGGTCAACACAATCCAACTTCCCTCTCTCCCTGGCTCTGTCTGCAGCATGTTTCGTTTGTGGATGAATTTCCATGAACAGGAAGGAACTGGAGGTCCAAAGCCAACATCAGGGGTTCAGGGAGGCTGCCTTTGTAGCTGCCCCTGGACCGTTCACTCGGAGTCTAACAGTCGGCACGAGTCCAGCCGGCCGCTTTGAGCTCTCCAATCCCACTCAGTCTGTGTTTGTTATTCAACCAGTCACTCAATACCACTAATGAGCACAGGGATATGTAAATCCCTAACTATTTCAATCATATTCGCCGAATGTAGACCGTTCCTCTTAAAGTGACGTTCCTACGGTTTACTTTTACCACCTTCAATACTTCTTCCATATCAGACTATTAAGTAGGACTTGTCTGAAGCTAAATGCAATGAGTTAAAATTGACAAAAGTTTAAATATAACTGTATATACTGTAATACTCAAATTGATTAATAAAGCTAGCCACCAAGATAACGAAGTTCAGAAGTTCTAAAGTGGGATAGAGAAGTGAAATTTGTGGTGGAAAAGTGGATCACATCCAAATCACATCCATGAAGTTCCAGGGAATTCCAAAGGCCAGCAGCAGACCCAGGACTGGACTGGAGGAAGAGGCCTAAGAATGTATTTATCTTGCAAAAGGTTGCTGAATGATACAGACATCTGTGTAAACATTTTTATTCAGTGTTTTTTGAAAGTTCTTGCAGATTTATTCTACTATTTGAAAAATGGTGTGGCAGCATTGGGTCAGTTCAGGATATTGGGACAGTATTTGAGTTAGTTGTTTTCATCTTTTTGCATCATGATGATCAGAATTTTAGCAGCAGAATTGTGAAAATATTATACCATAGATTTATAGCTTTGAATTCTATTTACAGTAGTAAAAAAACATTTAACACTTGGTATCACTGGTGAAGGACAATTTTCGCACAAATGTTTTCAAGTTATGTGTGTGTTTTGTTTTTATTTTTTCAAATACCCCATAAAAGAGATGTTTTGATTTTGTTTAGGTACCGGAACAATAATCACAGTGTGATTTTTTAGCTGTGCTGTTTTTCTTTTTTTTTCTTTTTTTGTACATTGTTTCTTTGTTGTTGTGAACTTAAAAAATACTCAAAGACATTGAGTCCAATATCATTAACCAGCATGAATGAAAATTGAAATTGTAAGATGTCTTTCAGAATCCATGCGTTTGTCATGCAAACTGAAGTGCCATTGTTGTAAGGATGCGGTTGAGTCTAATGATGCTGTGCAAACCTCCAAGTCAATAAGACACAAATGAAAAAGCCCTTTTCCCCTGGCACTGGTGGTTTCTGTTAAAAGCCTATCGCTCCACACAACTGTATGCATATATATCAGTCTGCATGTTGCCCTCTGCTGCATGGATCTGTAAATGGCAGGAAGAGTCAGAGACAGGGTTGTCTTGTGCCACTTCCGCTGCACACGACACGCTGCTCTGTGAGAGGTGATTGTGTTACAGTAACATCACTGAGAGGGTCTCTGGAGGCAGGGGGCTGTTTGTGGCAGGATGAGCTACGGCAACTCAAAAGGAAGGTCAAGACAAACACTAGGAAAGATACACGCATTTATAATAAACTACAATTTAGAAACATGGCTCTGTAAGATGTTTAGGTCAAAGATAGCTCTTAATGTGGAGTGAAACAAATATTATATTATATATATATATATATATATATTTGTTTTTATTGTTGACAAATGCACTAATAATTTAACTAACTAATAAATGTATAAATGCAAATTTTCAGCTTTATGTTGATAAATCTGAGACAGGCTTATACTCCGACAATGTTAAAATCCAGGCTAAAAACTATTATCTTAGCTGCAGATACAACTAAAAGATTGTATCCGCACTCATTTTAATGTACTGTGATTATTTAAGTTTTATCAATGTATGATTTTAATGTTTCCTTTCTTGTGTTTTGTGTTGTATTGCCTTTTAGATTTTTGGAAAATATAAAAAATGTCATATGTTGCATTATGATTATATGAAAACTGGTGATCAATTTTATTAGTGATTCTCAGTGCTCTTTGCCTTTGAATGAGTAACAGGGCTGTCTCCTCCTCTATTGTCAGTCCTGCTGTATCTGGATGTGATCCAGGCCGATGCTGTGGCGCAGTAGTAACAGATATTGTTTGTGCTCCGGGGGCATGAGGGGTGTTGTGCCCTGTTTACAAGCACAGGGCGGTGCCTCCCTGGACGACTTCTCTCACACAAAGACGTTAACACTATTGGGAAAGTTTTAGCAGCACAATGAATCTGCGTTGTTGCCTCAAGGAGTATTTGCAAAAGCATCATTGTTGTAAATGGGTTAAAAAAAATCCTAAATCACCCCCAAAGGATTGAAATCGGTCTGCATGTATAAAACAAAACCTTTCATTCATCACTGTCGTTAAATAATACAAAATAATTCAGAATAAAAAGATTTGGTGTCTCAATTATAATCTGATTTTCCAGACTTGATGATCCTATAAGATTGATAAATATTCAGCCTTTCCCTGCATTGTACCTTTTCTGTCTCCTGGTGATACAGTCAATCATTTATTTTTGTACTTCCGAAAAGCAGTTTATAACAGAAATCCTCGCTCAAAGTACTCAGTATGATCAATTGGACAGCGATACAAACTTATGGGGACAAAAACTGTCCAAAAACACAATTGCTGCAAGCCAACATTAAAACGCACCTTTACTGACTTGAACTTTGAGGTCAGGAGAGGTTGTTTTGCGACAGTGGCGTGTGAATATGTCTTGAGTCTGCTCTCTCACTGTTCCCTCTGGTGGCTGACTCTCCCCTGGCTCATCTTCTGACATTACAAAGACTCCCATAGAGACACAATAGAGATAATATTTTCCCTTTCACAATGGCTTTCTCCGCTGCTCTGTGCTCTGGGCTACAGCTTCAGAAACTATAAGTGTAAGTGGCCAGGGCTTTTCCCATCGCTGTCTGACACACCACGACCCAGCCCTGGCAGAGAAACGCGTTCCCCGAGGTCCCTACCTGTCAGCGGTCCGGTGGGATTAGCCCATTCACAGTCTCCATATTGTTCTCCAGGCCACAATAAGGCTGCATGGGGGCCTTTTGTCATCAGCTCCTCTGTGACTGAACCTCTACCGGAGCACCTGAAAAACATGGATTAGACCCTTTAACCAGCTTATTATGAGACTTTTATCATTCGTCTGACATGTGGCCTCCAGTCCTAGTCTACATCAAAAGCAATCACAAAAAGTTAGAGCAAAAATAAGGAGTGAAATGAGAGGACATGCCACAAATAAGACAGTGGGGGAAAAGTCTAGTTCAGACAATTATTGAATTTTCTATGACGAAAAATACTATTAGAAGTCAATTTCAAATGACAAATAATAGTACTATGTAATACAATCTGTGTAACTAGTTCCTGGCTTTAAACAGTTCTATCTAAAGCCTAAAATATTTCTTTCAAGTATTATGCTGTACTATTGCTGCTAACAAACAAAATGTATTAATGAAAATAAAAATGTTATGTGACCCAGCCTTACGAACAAGCCTCCGCTAGAAATGCAGATGATACTTTCCGATGTATTGACAGACTAAATAATGATCATGAGAGAAACTGATACCACACATAAGTCTTATTTTGGCGCACCCTCGTAGCTTTTGACCTCGGCAAGCAAATTTTCTATCAAAGCAAAACTCAAATCAGAGAGCGTGAACTCCTTGTGACCAAAGCCAAAATCAGAGGGATTTCACGGCTCTCACACAGAACGTGACTGTGTAAAGGTCTGAGTGGAAGAGAGACGTCGAGTCCGGCTTTGTGTTTACAGCCAATTATTGAATTTGCAGGTGCAGGAAAAGAAACATTAGAAGTCGGCGTCAAATCATAGCATTACTGTATTATCCATAGTGTGTATTATGTATGTGCAAATTCTGAACATGCATCAAGGTAAGAGAGTAGATGGCACTGTGACCATAGTGAATAGATTCTGTCATGTCTGAGAGTTAGCCTGCATGCATGGACATTATTGGTATACTCAGTGGACGTGCAATGATACAGCTGACAGTGGCCTGTTAGGAGGAGTTGATGGATCACCTGTGTCTGCATCAGTGCTCTATGTGCACACGTCCCATGAGACTATATCACATATCAGATGGTATGTTAATTACTTAGCCTTCAAAAAGGGGCTGTCCTGGCTGCAAGTGAGCACTGCATGGTCCAATCACAGTGTGGTTAAAGGTGGACATGGTACACATTGTGCATGAGACACAGCAGACGACAATAGGATGGGAAATGTCGATCAAATAAATACTATGTGCTCAGTTTTCTAAGTGCACTTTTGTGACTATTTTGCTTGTTAAATAAACAATGAATACTTAATAATAAATAAATAATAAATTAGTTTTATTCAGAAAATGTAGATGTAAAAAAAGATGTAAAGCATGGAAACCTCCTATAAGGCATAGAAGAAAATAAATTAATAAAAGAAAAAGATAAACAACCATAAATAAAACAATATAATGCTTGGATTAATTATCTCAAGAATAACAGGCTTTTCCAGGTCACACACTGTGTATGATGCAGAACCCGCCAGACAGAAGAGATGGACACTGACTCTTGACCTGTGCTGACCTGGGCCCTCCCCCTGTCCCACCAGCACCACACACGCACCCATCAGAGAGGGTGAGATCAAAGGGGCCGGGGCGGAGGGGCCGGGGCGGAGGGGACTGACCCGGTGTGGACTGAGGTGCACACACACACACACAGGCTCTAAGGACAGCGCTGATAGGCCTCCGGGGTTTCCCAAGGTTGAGAGAGAGAGACATACAGCAACACATGAGAGGGGACAGAAAGAGTGAGTGTGTTTATGTGTGTGCGCATACACGCACTGGGACTGAACGCTACAGGTGCTGATCATCCATCTTCTTGTTCCTGTGACTGCTTTGGTGACGGATTTAAGATTTCTGTCGAATGGCACAACTAATGAATAGTTGCGTTTCCATTTGACATGTATTGAGAGACACTTCCGCTTCCATCAGGCCCATCAGAGCAACGTATAAATGTCAGCACTTGTCTTAATTAGACATTTTGAAGTAGGATATGACAGACAGAGAGATACTTGATTTGAAGGGATTTTCAAGGCTGCATATTGCATTATTGATAGAAAAAAAGGTTGCGATAAAGTATAATGGAGCTGTGAAGGGCCTGCGTACCTCCTGGCTCCGTAAGAACATTGCATGCACCAAGCTTGAACTATTTCATACCAGTCAGGGCCACCATAACACTAGGATATTTTTTTGTCTTAGTCTTAAAAGCCACAGTCTGTGTTATAATGAAACCACAGCACAAAGCCTCATGAGAGCATAATCACCATAATTATTAAATAATGACTCATAAAGCGTCCATGTTAAATGATGTGTTTACTCACTCAATCAGCACTTGATTAGATCTAATCAGTTCTTCGGGATGCCAGCTTTTATAATTGCTATTAGCTGCATAGTTGGATGTGTAATTAGCCAGGGGGATTGTTCTCAGTTAGGGCTTTACTGCCAAAATAGTATGGCAGCAATACATTGAACAAAGTCTCTATAGAAGTTGAGGACCATGAAATCCAGAGCGCAGCGTGAAATTTCCTTTGAAACTCCAGAGACACACGATGCACATTTGAACTATTTCATGCGTCTTATACTTCGGCTCCAGAGTTTTACGAAGCTTGGTGAGATACGGTCTATATAGAATCTTCTACGTCCAGCTCCTGTCTCTGTGCGGCTATAAGAGACAAGCGCTGCTCCCTCTCGTGTCGTTTACAAGGTGACAAAGCAGTGCGGTGTCTCTATGCAGCTGCTTTGCCTTGTAAACGGGCTCTGTATGATCTCTCTATGAACATGGGGCTCAAAAGACTGTTTAAAGGTCTATATGTTTTCCACCAGGTTCAAAAAGCCTTCATTATGGACGTGTCTAACTTAAATTGTTCTAGAATCATTGCCTTATAACACTTTTAATTATGTTTTTTTTCTGAACAAGGTACATTTGTCAGCTAGATCATAGTCTAAATGTAAAGAAATATATGCATATAAGTTTAAAAAGACAATGAAAAAAGCCACAGTATTAACACTTCAGGTACCAACATAGCTGAATTGCTACATGAGCTCCTGAATCCAGGACACTTTCTATACAGAGACCTGGTTTCTCACAAATTTTTCCCTGTATTTTTCTTTTTTCTTTTATTTATGCCTGTTATTGATTTTAGTAGTCCCATATCACTCTACGTCTACCTTTTGTCTATTTCACATACTATTTCTGAAAAAACCCTTATTCTATTAAAAAAATAAGTTAGGCACCATTATAGAATGTGTAAGATAATCTGGGAGTATTAGAACACAGCTATTATGAGGGAAATTATAATGCTTAATACCCAAATAAATCCAATGTGGGTTGTTAAAATATTTTCACATGGGAAATTACATTTAGAGCCCAGAAAAGGGGGCATTCTGTGAAGCACCCAGTCGAGTGTGTTCATATGATACTTTGAGCTCTGTGCCTCTGTCAAGTCCTCGGAGGCGAGACACTGCGATAGCATCGAGCCAGCCTGACCTCTTCACTCCTCGCCCGCTCTCATAAGGCCCGCCCCCTTCCTTTACCTCTGCACTTCCTCCTGGCATCTCTGGCACTGGGTGGCACCCAAGAGTCAGGGCTTCATTAGACAGGGCTATAGATTACACAACTGCAGCATCCAACTATGCACATGTATCACTATATCCCCGAGTTCACTTGTCAAATGTGATAAAACTAACATAAATAGATTTTCTTTGTCCCAACAGAAAGAGTCTTGTTCAAGTAACATTTGCTGAACAAATCAAACCACAACTTGCTGTATTTGATAGATGGCACTCTCTTTTTCACAAAACAATCTGCATGACTGTACAAGCATGTCAAAGCTAGTGATAGAACCAAACAGTTGAGCGAGGGTTTTATTGTGTTATTTTTTGTGGTACTGTTAGGTGCTTGCTTTGTGTGACTCTTTTCAGCTTTTTAACTCCATGTCTGACTTGAGAAACATACTTGTGTAAAACAATGACTGTATGACTGAATTCTTGAAATAATATTATAGTCAAGAATGAATCACAGCATGAAAAGAATGTCCATTTCCCCATCACATGCAAGTACAACTGATTTAACATCTATTTTGAGGGAACCTCCTGCTGATATTTGAACCAAGGAGGTTTTCAACACACGTACGCAGATGGAAGCTCATCTGAATTGAACATAAGCCAACACGGTCCCCGCAGCGGGCTATTGTATTGAACAATCTGCTTTTCTTACTATATCCCAGGACTAGATCTAATAATACAAATGGCTCACTGTGGTGACTACATACAGTACAGCAGGTTCTCCCATCAATTTTACTTCATTAATACTGTTTACTGCAGTACTATAGCAGTATGGAAGTAAAGTTTAGTTCTGGCTTGGTGCTTGCTATTTTGCTTTTTTCTAGCCCTTTTGCGCCAGGATTTTTAATGCTTTAGTCCAAGTTGCACCTTGAGCTGAATTTGAATTTTTAATATAACAAATAACAAACCAGGGTTTTTAGTGACTCAATATTCACAAATCACAGCAAAGAGACAGGTTTGGTCCCTTATGGCACCAGTCTCAATTCTGCGTAATACAAAACTTGATCCAGGGATTGTTCGGTCTGTCTAAAGGTTCAGAACATAAGGGAAAGAGAAAGTAGAAGGGTCATGGCACTAAAACATTGCCACGAGTTCAAAGGTTGGGCACGAACACCAGTCCAACAGAAAGATCCATCTTGGTCAAGGAAAAACCTCTTGAAAGGAGGCCGTGTAATTGCAGGATGCAGCGTGACAGACCATATCGTTATTAAAAGGTATTGTTAGAGGAAAGAGGAGACTGGGGTCACATTTGATGTAAGCTGCTTTATTGTGACGCTGGAGACAATCCTTTACTGTTGCTGATGATGGATATGAGGTTAACTGTGACCAACGTATAACATATTCAGGGACTCGATCACAAGTGGCTTTGTAAACTGCCTGTTTCTCAGTCCTCCAGTCTCTGTGTGAAGCTTATACATACATGTTATTTGATTGTATAATTTATTTTATTCAATCTAAAGTGTTTTTTAAAGAGGAAATTTAGACTTACAGATATATCATAGACTACAATAATGAACAGTGAGCTATTATGGCTTCAGGATATGTCGAAGCTATGATAGCAATGATGCGGGATCATTTTGAGTCATTAAAATGCGTATATTAAGCGTTTCTTTCATGCAAAAGCTTGTTCTTAAGTGTTGCTATATCATTGGTCAGAGCGAGCGCACAAACTCACTTGAATGATAGATCCAGGTGCAAATGAGAGTAGTGAAGAATACATTTTGAAAGGTGGGACAGAAGCAGATGCAGAGAGGAAAACACAATGACAAAGATTGTGGAAAATACAAAACAGGAGCCCTCACTGTTAAACAGGTGGCATCCTTTCAGCTAAAGAGGTCTCACTCAAGACATTTTATCCAAAACATTTATTTCATATAAAAAAAAATATGTATATAATATAATAATATATATTTAATTTATTTATTTATTGAGCATGTATGAATTTATTGTTTCATTTATTGTATTTACTCTTTAATGAGAGTATAATTTCTTATGGAAAAGGATCGCAATATATATCGTCGCAATCCTTGACACCCGTATTGCATATCGCACTCTTTTTCCTGCAGCTCGAGTAGATATATGTGTGATGACGATAGACTGTAATTATGGCCCACCTTCAGATGTAGATGAGTTTCTTTTCCCAGAATTCTTTGCAGGAGTGGCGGTGCGGCTGGGGTATGGGCATCCACCTGTGTTGCCTTTGTGTCGCTGTCATGTGTGTGGAGAGGTCTTTGTGAGGGTCCGTGTGAGGACAGGCCTGAGGAGGGCTGATGATGGAGACACATCTGGACACCGGACACCAGCTACGAGGAGAAGCAACAATGAGAAACTGTGACAAGTGGTGATTTAAATGCTATTTGGGGGTCACTCGTGAGATAGTTTAGAAGCAATAAATATCTCAAATTAGACATCCCTATTTATTCATGCTATCCAGCACATCTGCGGAAATCTCGAGGCATTTTATGATCACATTCTTCATGTAACACTTAGAAATACAACTTCAAGTTATACATAGATTGTCAGTCAAGCTGCATACAGTAGAGGGACACTATGCAGGAGGAAGTATAAGCACTATCCTCTCTAACCTACTTTATATGTCATCACTATGAGTGAAGTATGTTCATTGCTATTCACCCACTGTCCCATTCTCTGTTTCATGGTGTGATGGAGGGATCCCTAGATCTGGCCTCTTTTACCTTCAGCAGTGAATTGTCTCCCCCAGCCCGCACTTTTGGGCTCCACCCTGCCTGGTAGGCTCTTCAGTCTTTCCCTGCCCTACCTCAGTCCTTGTTCCACAGACTGAGTCCTGGATAAATAGTGTGTCTGTCCATGAGAGAGGATCCCTCTCTCAATGAGGCTCTAGGTTTTTTGAGTCGTTCTTTACCGATGCAGGAGGGTCAAAGGACAGTCATGATCTGACATATTTAGGACATTTGATTATCTGATCTCTTGTTGACGAAATCAAGAATTTTGTAAAGTCCTTTGAGACAAATGCTGTGGTGATTCAGGCCTATACAAAAATAACTTTAAGTGAATACAGTTGTGCTTGAAAGTGTCCACACATGTCCTTCATAATATTCAAAATATGGCCAAAACAATGAAATCTCTGGTTGGATATGCACAGCCAGGACAACGCATTTATCGGTTTTACCATTCTGCAAACAGTAAACCTACAAACTGCATTTGAAAACAACAACAAACAAAAATCCCTGCAATTGGGTCTATGGGCCATGGCGAGGACACATTTTCATTCACCTTACAGAAGTGGAAATGCTAGAGCTCAGGCAGGGTTGCGCCCTCTGCTCTACTATTCCATATTCAGACTTTTATTTACTTCTCATCCAGAGTGGAGTGTTGATAAATGACGCCGCTGTGCCCTGGGACTCAGTGTTTAAGGAGCAGAGGGGCGATTTATGAGCGCTCTCTTGCAGGCTTCACAGTGATTAATCGACTGGTCCACTGCGGCCACAAGCGGGGTGGGGGCGGTCGGCCGGACGGTGTTTGGATAGGCAGATAACATCAAAGTGGCCTGCTGCTTGTGTTAAGAAAATACTGCATTCTGGGTCAGTGCAAATGAATCCACAAGGAGCTGGAAACTGCTTTAAATGGTATCCACAGCTTTATCACTGTGCATGGGGGAGCGGAGAAGATGGGGTTTGTCATTGAGTATCTGTAAAAAAACGTTTCTTAAAAATACACTACACAACAACACACAACAATGAGAGTGTTGAAGTATTACATTTTCAAACAACTAAAAAGTTCATCAACAACTCAAAACATTTAGCTACATATGGGACATTTGTGTATCCCATATTTATTGTATGAAGGAGAATATGTGACTCTGAGGGAGAATCAGAGTGACAGTGTGCAAAAGATTGAGATAAGATAAAGAATGTGGTTGTCTGATTTGTTCACAGATTTCACTTTCTGATGAAAGAAAATGTATTATTTACTAAACAAAAGAGTCACTTGCTTAAAAAAAAAAAAAAAAAAAAAACTTAAAATCACTTGCTCTCTCTCAATGATGATCAAACACTGTGAAATTTACCACACATCTTGAATGTTTAATGCTTAAAAGGGAAACACATGTAACCAGCCCGCGGTTCCTCCGAGGCTTATTCTGTGCTCTAAGTCATATCTCCATCTTCGTCAATCCAGACTGACAGTTCAAACAAATGAGGGTGTAATGAGTGGTTAAAGGTGTTAGCCTCAAAGATATTTACCTGGCCCACACCTGCACTGCTGATCCTGGGTCACAGAGATGGGCTCAGTGCTTGGGGGCGCACTCTGCTCCTCTTTTCATCTCTATTCCACCATTACTGTGGCTGCACCTCAGGCACCTGTGGCCCGGGACCCTCTCATCCCACGTCACACCATGGAACTGTCAAAAAGATGTATGTTCATAACCTTATTGTAGTGTTAAAGTTTTACACCATCCATGACTCTACAATCAGTTATCAGTGTAGAGTATTCCATGCAATAATATCCCTATTGAAACAAGATAAACAGTAAGATGAGATAAAGTGACACAGCTTGTTGCAATGGTGCCCAGACCTTAACAAAACAAAAAACTATTGAGTTATTTCTCAAAAGATTGAAAATAAGTATATCAGTATATAGGGGCACAATATTGCTAAAATGTATAAAAGTATTCGTTTAAGTTGGGGTGATTTGTATAACTAGCACAAAAAGAGTTCTGCCAAGATCTTATCTCATTTACACATCAAAATACTGGCTCTTCTTTCCCATTGTAAGAACACCATACTTTCTGAGCCAACAGGGAATCATTGAACGAATTTCCGCTCCCCATTTTCAACTTCCAACTTTCTTTTCCGCCATGGCCAAAGGGATGCCAATTTAGCTGAGTTGAAAGGCGCTCTGTTACCTGTCCGCTGGGGTAGAACCTGTGCGGAGATTGCCCTTTCCCATGCTTCCACCGCGGGACCCCTACTACAGGCAAACAGAGGGTACACCTGTTCCCCTCCCAGAGACTGTCCCGGGATCTGAAATCTTAGCGCGGGCCGAACCTATTGAGAACAGCCAGTGTGATAAGGGCCAGTACTGTGATGGGACAGAGGTAACTTGAGCAAAGACCAGGAAAGAAAACGCCTGCAAGCCAGATGCACCCACTGCCAAAACACAGTACCTCCTTCTACGGGACGATTACTTCCAATAGAAAAAGCCATTGTCTGCAAGGAGTCTGCCACTTATCAGTGTATTCTTCGCAAAAAAGAATGGTCTGCCTGTGTTACACCAGTGAAGTTTATTAGGGCTAAAGGGAGGAGGTGAAGTTTCTAAAGCCAGTGGTGTAAATCAGGACAATTACAGTCTGGAGAGGGAAAGCTTTTGCGTCCCTTGGAAATACCTCACACTCAAATGCGTAAATTTTAAATCAAGCTTTACACAATTTTAACAGTTTGTGTGTTTTAGGGTGCCAGGACCCCACTACTCATGTCCTTTAAAAATGACTAAGGTGTGAACTGGGACCAAAGAGTTCCTGCGCAGGAAACAATATATTGGGGTGACCATAATAAATATGGTATAAGCCTTCATTGCCCATGTCAAAACATTTTGTAATGTTTAGGAATGTAATGTAAAGCAATAAGAAAAATTAAGATTGATCTACTATTTCATTTACTGTGCAAAAAAAAACAAAAAAAACAATAGTGTTCACAAGAGTAAATAAAAGAAACTATGGGCTTTTGTAGAGCGGGTTAAAACAAATACAGCAAGTTATACAAGAGAGGAAATGACAACAATAAACTATTCCATTCTAAAAGGGAAATGCACAAAAGGAACCTTTGTAATCATCAAAACTTGCAAACCACATTGAGTGAACTTGTGATCAACATGATGTCTCCAACTTTTATCATATCCACACGCACAAACAGCCAAAGAGCAGCCGTTCGAGTGCACCTCGGTTGCTTTGGTCCAGTTGCAAAAGCTGTAGTATAAAAATGTCAAGTGACTGCGAGCATGACTATAGAGAAGATGGACATGGCGAGACAAGATGGCCACTCAGGGGCTGTAACCGAGGTTGTGAGGTCAATGTCTCTGTGGCTTTGGAGGCTTCGGGGGAAATAAGTTGCAGCAGTGAAGCAGGGGGTAACACTCAGAGAGGAGCCCAGATGCACAAACTTCTTTAAAGTTCATATTTGATGACCATGTGCAAAAGGCATGACTGAGCTGCTGTCACTTCAGATGGCTTTTTCCCCCCCTTTGTGAATTTGGTTGGGGCACATACATTTATGAGAGGAGAAAAGGTAAATCCTGAATAGAGACAGACAGCATAGAAAATAGAAGAGAAAAACGACATTCAGCAACAATAGATCACATCGTGCAATTCTAAAGCTTACCAATTATATTTGTATCCATTCAAAAATGTTCATGATATAAATGTGTAATTGTAATTATAAAGTATTGCTGTTCTTTATATTTCTGCAACATCCTAGTGTTTATCCCTAATTCTGTTCCAAAATTACATCCTTTTGTCTGGCTTTAATGGTTAACCGGTTTGTGTGCATTGCGTGGCATCACATAATCGTCAGGCTCACATGCTGAAAGCCTCTCTGCATTGTTCCACAGTGGGTGACAGCTTAATGTGCCTGTCTAATTTATTCCTCTTCCCATCCTTTGACTCAGGGGGAAAACACGTCTCATCTATGCAACAGAAGAGGGCATGTTATCAGAGGGACAGTTAGTTAAGCTGTCTTCACCTTTCCGCCTGACCTGGGACTGTTGCTTGAGATGTTTTGGAGCTGAGGCATCCTTCCTGCACACTCTGATTTATGGCCGCTCAAGTTGAGAGGAAAAATGTAAGGGGCGCGCACTGGGCAATATCGATCCGGGAAATCAGTGAGTGAAGAAGGGGTGGAGACGTAGGAAGCCAGGAAGGTAGGAGAGGAGACAGAGAGGAGACTGATGCTGGGCCATTAGCCTGTTGCCTTGTACAGAGCAGTGATGGCTGGTGTGGGCAGAGAGGAGCAGAGGGGGTTTATAATAAGATCACTCCCCCATTAGCCCAGGGGAGATGCCTCTTTACAGATGCTATCAGTGTGAGCACACAACTCCATCATGCCTGCCACTCTGTCGCCATGCAACTGCTACTGCAACAGCAAAGAGGCCCATAATCTAAACTGGATGCATCTGTTTATGTCACTTGAGTATAGTACACTGTCTGCTTTATGCATTATCTGATAAGATAAGGCTTCATTTTTGGTCCCATACCACAGTCGAAATTCAGATGTGAAAGCATGTAAGAGATTATCTACGAGCTCCTATCTATATATTCACATTTAAGATATACATGAAATTTAAAATGCCATGTGATGCCAGAGAAGGTCTTTGTGCCGAATTATGACATAATCAGCAAGGTACATTATGGTGTGTTTACATTGACTCATACATGTGCCATGTTTAAAGTGCTATGCTTCAAATGCACTGAATTTTTAAAAATCCAATTTGAAAAAATGTAATGCATTTTTACATATCAAATCATGAACCAAGCAGACTTATATTTAGGTGGGTAGATTAGGCTCATTGTTTATTGGAAACGTCTATACGGCTAGTGTCTGTGGACACCTTGAGTGGATAACCATATGCTGTCACAGTAGACCAGACGTGCCTCATATTGAGAGCTCTGTTGACCTGGGAATTGTGTGGGAGGAGGAGCGCGGGGGTGGAGCGGCACAGGGGACTTGTGAGAGTTTTCATGAGGTACAAATCAAGGATTTAACTGCTCCAGCCCGTTTGCTCCTACCCTCTTCTGCTGCTCACACTGTGTAAGTCTGCAGGAGACAGAGGCGGCAAAGAAATCACAGAGAAGCCTGACAAAGTGCTGGTTACTGTGGCCAAGATGGTTCTTGGTGAACGATGTGCAAAAATAGTGTGAGACCTAACAATAGTTTGGACCACACATGAAATCAAAGGCAGATGTCCACAGCTATCGGCTCGACCACATCAGCTGTTGCCCGATGTTCTCTTCAGTCTCCACAATTATTCTAGGAACAGGACAAACCAAAACCAACTAAACATTCACAGTCCTCAGAGTCCATAAATGTAAAGCCTTTGGGCTTTGTTAGCAGAAGTGGGAACCCCCTTTGTGCTGGTAGTGACACAAGCTGTAGCCACAGCACGCTAAAGCAGGGAAGTGTTATTATGGACATACATGCCAGCAGTCCTCCCTCATCTGCCACAAAGCCACTGCCTGTCAAACAACTGCAGCAGATTATCAATGTGCCCTTTCAGTCTTTCTTACTGTGAGAAAGAGCTTGTAAATGACCAACTGGAGAGTATACAACTTAATGACTGGAAGTGATGAGAACGGCTCTGAATGGCCTGGGAATTTTAACATTTTATGCTTTCTCCTTGATCAAACAGTTGCAATTATAATGTCATTCTAAACAGTGTGTTGGCAGAAGATAAATCCAGAGGTGAATCCAAAAGTCCTGCTTCACAAATCCATGTGTGCCTCACAGCAGAGACAACCTGCTCCTGTCTGTTACTCTTGCCCGTCTGTATAAAAATTTAACAATTTAAGAGAGCTGCATATTTTTGCTCAGGCTTGCCCTAATGGTGCCCAATCAGTTCCACCAGGTCTGTTCCAATGGGCTCACGGCCTCTAGCCTGATTACACTGAATTGTGGGTATTTCCTGCCTCTAAGCCTCGCATATGGATCGAGTAAGGCAGTGGCTGAGGGAACTACCGTTTCTCCACTACATCTTCATTTCTTTCTCTCTCACTTTTTTTTTTTCAATGGGGAAAAGCAAAACACGTTTGTTTTTTCTGGCTCCGCTGTCAAAATAGCGAGCAGGGCTTTGGCTCAGCGTCCGCTCGCACACAGGCCAAAGAAAATCCCATGAGACAAGTGTGGCTAAATGCACTTTAATCCACATGATCACTATCCGTCTGCACACCCAACCACACCTCACTGACCCAGTGCAACGCAAACATTCAATTTATTAAACATTCCCTAATTAAGTTCAAAAAGTCAAGGCAATTTAACTCATAATACAAAAATAACAGATTGTCAATTGTATTTCTCTCACATTGTCTAAAACAAATGGTATGTGACATCTTCACACAAATGCATTATGGAACAGACTCACTGCCAGTACTGTTTTAGTGGTTTTATACGCAGCACTTTAGATGGAAGATTACATTATTCTAGCTCAGACCTGACAGAGGTTAGCGGAAAAGTGGGATTAAAGACGTTAGTTGTGAAGGGAGAATTGCATTATGTCCAACTAAAATCTGTAAAGATGCCCACTTTCGTATTAGTGCAAGTTCAGTGTGGAAACTGTTACTTGTTATCAAATTTAACACATTGTTCTGGTTGTTTTGCTAATATAGTATTTGTATGTATCAAATCAAACTGAAACACTGAAGTATTTCGGTTGATTGTCAATTTGTCCCTTTTCCCATTTCTCCATCAGGATACACATATATCCCATAAATATTTATTTGGTTAATGGTATGTTTGTACCCTTAAAACTGTTAATGTCATATAAATCTTAGAAACAAGTGACTAAATATGTTCCACGGCAACAACGAGCTGAGGGACAAGCTCGATGTGATTGACTGAGCTGTTGTCGTACTGCTGTGACCGCTGGAATGCACATTGTGTGAAAGGTGCCTCCAACAAACACAATAGTGACTATGCAAGGCCTGCTCATGTTACCTGTGTCCACACCTGACATTATAAATCTCTTTGTGATAAACTGAGAAATGCTGTTTGTATTAATATTGTTAGATAAATACAGACAGATGTGGGTAATGTTACATGATTTGTAATCTGATAGATGGACAATGCAAAACACATGAAAATAAAACAGAATGCACCATATAATGTAATTAAATGCATTCTTTGATTGGATATGGGTATTCTTGAAACAACATTTCTTAGAAGAATTGTCAAGTAAATTACCCAAAACAGCTGTACTATTGTGAAGGCTAAGTCCGCTCTAGAAATTAGATGAAGCTATACAAATGGATTTATTACAGCAATTGATAATTACTGGAAGTACATTAATAAAACGACTAAATTGAAAAGTTTCGGATGACATCACAACATTTGGCCTATAATAGTCAATGGGGGTCAGAGAGAGGTATATTGAATCCGGACATTAAACGGTTCCGATAGCAAATATTGTCTGGGAAAGACAATCCCATGCTCTCTTTATGATGTAACACAAATCAAATATATAGAGGTCCGGAGAAAAGAAGTCACCTGACATTTTTAGCGTGACAGTTCCGCCATCCTCGCATTTTAAGTGTCAAGTGGGGCTTTACCGGCACTAGGCCTGGACTTCTGTTAAGCACACATCCTGTAGCAACCATGTCCCGTGGCAATGACCTGATCCAGCAGTCAGGAAGCAACCAATCAGGAACTTATTAGATCAGCTCCACAGGAAAAAAAGAATTAATAAAGTTTCCCCCAAAATATCTGTCTCACCTGCTTCAACAAACCCTGGAGATCTGAGGGCGTTCACTTGACACGCTTTCATCAAACCGGGTGCATTAAACTTCCTCTATTCTCCTCTCTCCAATGATCTATGGTCGTCATGATATGCCTGTGGAAGGTGTTGTGTTCCTTGCAGCTCGTGTCCAGACAAGGGTGGTCCGTGCAACCGGATCCTCTGACATCGCTCTGAACATGAAAACACGAAACATAGTTATTGATCACGCTCGTCCACACTAATCAAATAGCTTCCTGGTTTGTTTGAAGCTAAAAATGGATACAGGAGATTATTACAATTGCACTTTTAGACCTTCCAGCTTCACCCATTCTCCTGGCACACACAGACAGTGGTGTTATTTGTATTGTTAAATTTACATTAAGCCTGATTTAATTGCATCAAGCCGCTAAACAGATCTTACAATAATGGGCTGGGAGAGAAAATTGCAATCATCTGTAAGGGGCCTGCGGCACTGTAATGGACAAACCTGATTAATTTAATCTTGTTGCACTCCATTAAGGCTGCACTTTATCATTTCAACAGATGGAGCACCAAGAAATTAAAAAAAAGGCTCTCAAGGATATGTGGCACTCTGACTTGTTATGATGCCCTGTTATTGGAAGGTGTGTTGTGTGTGTGGGCTGCAGCAATCATATGCAGGCTCCAGATCAACGCGTTTGGAATGAGTGCTTTCTCCAAATCACATTAGGTAAACAGTCAATTGTTGCAACAAATCGCCAAAATTGCTTCCATGATTTATCGCTGAAGGCTATTAACTGCTGTCCATCCAATAACCCAATTTTGTGGTTATTATTATCACTAGGATAGAATGACAGGTGGAAGGCTGTATACTAGGGCGGGGCATTCTCCTTTATGAACTGAGAAAATACTACTAACAAACTAAACTAATCAGAAGTTCTGCAGCCTAATACTGGGAATTCTATACTTCCTTGTCTATCTGAATGAATTAAAAAAATACCAATTTCAGATATTGACCAATAGGAGGCACTGTGTAACAAATGTACCTCTCCTTTACCCACCATCACAACACGGACACTTGGCGCCTTTACTGTGCTTTCTGATGAGTTATACAACGAAGTTCACGTGACATTCAGAAACATTTTGCCCTTAGATAAAAAGTTATCTCAACTATAAATTCGTTAAATAATCCAGTAGTTGCCATAGAGCTAGCAGCGAAATGTGAAGTGAGGTTAGCTTACCTGGATGTCACGTGGTTCGATGTTAGCAAGAAACCATGAACAATTCCACTGTGGATAATATGTTGAATTGTGAACAAATTATAGTTTCTGTCTGCAGGGAGAGCTGTAGTGACACTTGAGAGCCGAGGTACCGTGGGGAGCAGAGGACAGGCCGACAGCAGCAGTGGCAGTGGTGTCAGGAGCAAGCTCTGACATCCATAGACTGTATGTGACATCAAGCCACAAAGGTAAAAGTTGTATCGTGTTTTGGTGTTTTTTTTATTTTTTAGGCCCGAGCCCCGAACGGGGTAAGGGCCTATTGCTTTCACAATGGTGAAAACAAATGGTGGCGGTGCGTGACGGACGCGTCAGCGCCCGTCACTCACCAAAACGTGACGGTTGCGTGCGTAAACTCGAACACTTTAAAATGATGTATCACGTGCCATTGAAACCTATATTGTTTTTGCTCGAGACGTCGAAAAAAAAATTCCTTTTTAGGCCCGAGCCCCGAACGGGGTAAGGGCCTATTGCTTTCACAATGGTGAAAACAAATGGTGGCGGTGCGTGACGGACGCGTCAGCGCCCGTCACTCACCAAAACGTGACGGTTGCGTGCGTAAACTCAAAAGCTTTAAAATGATGTATCAGGTGCCATTGAAACCTATATTGTTTTTGCTCGAGACGTCAAAAAAAAAATTCCTTTTTAGGCCCGAGCCCCGAACGGGGTAAGGGCCTATTGCTTTCACAATGGTGAAAACAAATGGTGGCGGTGCGTGACGGACGCGTCAGCGCCCGTCACTCACCAAAACGTGACAGTTGCGTGCGTAAACTCAAACGCTTTAAAATGATGTATCACATGCCATTGAAACCTATATTGTTTTTGCTCGAGACGTTAAAAAAAAATTCCTTTTTTATTTCTTTCTTTCTTTTTTCTTCTGCACTTTGAGCCTTAATTTGACCCCCTGAACATGCATGAAAAGTTGTTAATTTTGGCCCAAAAATCAGACCTGGCGAAAAATTTGATATTTTGGTGTTTATTTTTATGGGACTCAAAAAATGACAGAACAGCGCCACCTACAACAGCCAAAATAATACCCCTATGGGACTTTTCGGAGGTCAAGTTTGTCGTAGAAACATGAGATTTAGTACACATGTTCCTCAAGTCAAGACAAGAAAAAAATATTATTATGGCTCCGCCCTCTGACAAACAGGAAGCCCATAAATTTCACTGCAAAATAGAAAAATGAACAGCAAAAGTTTTCATACATGACGGTTGGAAAGCGACTCCTCCTCGGCCGTTTCACCGATTCGCCTCAAAATCGCTCCACATCATCTCAACACATGTACCTTCAAAATGACCTCAGGGATTTTTGATCAGTGAAACATTGTTTGAGCAGCGGAGCGGCAAAATGTGACCTTTTTTTGGCCGTTTTTGACAACATTAAATTTGCTCCCGTTTGCACAAGCAAAGTCTGATTTGCACAAAACTTGAATCCATGCTTCAACTCTTGGGTCTAGGTCATTTGAAAGTTAGAATTTTGAAATTGGCTCTATAGCGCCACCTACAACAGCCAATTTAAAAATGCCTATGGGAGGGGTTCGAGGTCAAAATTTTTGTAGAACCATGTAATTTGGTACACATGTTCCTCAAGTCAAGACATGGAAAAAATGTAATTATGGCTAATCCCTCTGACAAACAGGAAGCCCATAAATTTCACTGCAAAATGGAAAAATGAAAACCAATCATTCTCATATACGTCGGTTGGAAAGCGACTCCTCCTCGGCCGTTTCACCGATTCGCCTCAAAATCGCTCCACATCATCTCAACACATGTACCTTCAAAATGACCTCAGGGATTTTTGATCAGTGAAAGATTGTTTGAGCAGCGGAGCGGCAAAATGTGACATTTTTTTGGCCGTTTTTGACAACATTAAATTTGCTCCCGTTTGCACAAACAAAGTCTGATTTGCACAAAACTTTAATACATTGTTCAACTCTAGGGTCTAGGTCGTTTGAAGGTGAATTAATTCAAATTGACACATTAGCGCCCCCTACAGACTATTTCAAAATGTTAGATGGGCCTTTTCAAATTTAGTTTTTTCAAAATGTTTGAAATTTTGCACATAAATCTGTTTTGCCCTGTTGATTCAAAAAGTCAATAGGGTCCAAGGCTTATTTTTTACCCTGTTGCCGTGGCGACGAGAAACGCTCCCCATTCATTGCAAATGTACACCTCACACAAACATCAAACCAGCCTCGGCCGTTTCACCGATTCACCTCAAAATTGCTCCACATCCTCTCAACACATGTACCATCAAAATGACTTCAGGGAATTTTGATCCGTGAAACGTTGTTTGAGCAGCGGAGCCGCAAAATGTGAGGGTTTTTTTGGCTCTTTTTGACAACATTAATTTTGCTCCTGTTTGCACAAACAAAGTCTGATTTGCACAAAACTTTAATCCATTGTTCAATTCCAGGGTTTAGGTCAGGTTAAAGTGAAATATTGGAAATTGGCCCATTAGCGCCCCCTACAGACTGTGTCAAAGTTTACATGGGGAGCCAAACCAGCTCTACTTATCATATTCATTACAATTTGACTAACATTCTTCTATGGCTACGGAAACAAATCATCACACGGCGGTGCCAGCTCCTTTTAGCGGTGCCAGCTCCTTTTAGCGGTGCTGCGGCGTAGTGCGGGGCGTTGTGGAGCGGCGCGTTGCGGCTTGGTGCGGGGCGGCGTGGTGCGGGACGGCATGGTGCAGGGCGGCTTGGTGCGGGGCGGCATGGTGCGGGGAGTGCGCGCGGTGCAGGGAGTCGCGCGGTGCGGCGAGGGCCGTTCGACGCCGCTTGCGGCTTTAATTTATTTCTTTCTTTCTTTCTTTCTTTTTTCTTCTGCACTTTGAGCCTTAATTTGACCCCCTGAACATGCATGAAAAGTTGTTAATTTTGGCCCAAAAATCAGACCTGGCGAAAAATTTGATATTTTGGTGTTTATTTTTATGGGACTCAAAAAATGACGGAACAGCGCCACCTACAACAGCCAAAATAATACCCCTATGGGAGTTTTGGAGATCAAGTTTGTCATAGAGTCATGAAATTTGGTACACATGTTTGTCAAGTCAAGCCAAGAAAAAAATATTATTATGGCCCCGCCCTCTGACAAACAGGAAGCCCATAAATTTCACTGCAAAATGGAAAAATTAACAGCAAAAGTTTTCATACATGTCGGTTGGAAAGCGACTCCTCCTCGGCCGTTTCACCGATTCGCCTCAAAATCGCTCCACATCATCTCAACACATGTACCTTCAAAATGACCTCAGGGATTTTTGATCAGTGAAACATTGTTTGAGCAGCGGAGCGGCAAAATGTGACCTTTTTTTGGCCGTTTTTGACAACATTAAATTTGCTCCCGTTTGCACAAACAAAGTCTGATTTGCACAAAACTTTAATACATTGTTCAACTCTAGGGTCTAGGTCGTTTGAAGGTGAATTAATACAAATTGACACATTAGCGCCCCCTACAGACTATTTCAAAATTTTAGATGGGCATTTTCTAAATTAGTTTTTTCAAAATGTTTGAAATTTTGCACATAAATCTGTTTTGCCCTCTTGATTCAAAAAGTCAATTGGGTCCAAGGCGTATTTTTTACCCTGTTGCCGTGGCGACGAGAAACGCTCCCCATTCATTGCAAATGTACACCTCACACAAACATCAAACCAGCCTCGGCCGTTTCACCGATTTGCCTCAAAATCGCTCCACATAATATCAACACATGTACCATCAAAATGACTTCAGAGAATTTTGATCAGTGAAACGTTGTTCGAGCAGCGGAGCGCCAAAAAGGGGCGTATTTTTTTCAGTTTTTGACAATAGAAAAATTGTTTCCGTTTGCACAAACAAAGTGTGATTGGCACAAAACTTGAATCCATGGTTCAACTCTTGGGTCTAGGTCAATCGAAAGTTCAAATTTTTAAATTGGCTCTATAGCGTCACCTACAACAGCCAATTTAAAAATGCCTATGGGAGGGCTTCAAGGTCAAAATTGCCGTAAAACCATGTAGTTTGGTACACATGTTCCTCAAGTCAAGACATGGAAAAAATGTTATCATGGCTAATCCCTCTGACAAACAGGAAGCTCATAAATTTCACTGCAAAATGGAAAAATGAACAGCAAAAGTTTTCATACATGTCGGTTGGAAAGCGACTCCTCCTTGACCGTTTCACCGATTCGCCTCAAAATCGCTCCACATCATCTCAACACATGTACCTTCAAAATGACCTCAGGGATTTTTGATCAGTGAAACATTGTTCGAGCAGCGGAGCGGAAAAATGTGACCTTTTTTTTGCCGTTTTTGACAACATTAAATTTGCTCCCGTTTGCACAAACAAAGTCTGATTTGCACAAAACTTTAATACATTGTTCAACTCCAGGGTTTAGGTCAGGTGAAAGTGAAATATTTGAAATCGGCCCATTAGCGCCCCCTAAAGACTGTGTCAAAGTTTACATGGGGAGCCAAACCAGCTCTAGTTATCATATTCATTACGATTTGACTAACATTCTGCTATGGCTACGGGAACAAATCATCACACGGCGGTGCCATCTCCTTTTAGCGGTGCTGCGTGGTAAGGTGTGGTGCGGCGTAGTGCGGGGCGTTGTGGAGCGGCGCGTTGCGGATTGGTGCGGGGCGGCGTGGTGCAGGGCGGCGTGGTGCAGGGCGGCGTGGTGCGCGCGGTGCGCGCGTTACGGGGAGTCGCGCGTTGCGGCGAGGGCCGTTCGACGCCGCTTGCGGCTTTAATTTCTTTCTTTCTTTCTTTCTTTCTTTCTTTTTTCTTCTGCACTTTGAGCCTTAATTTGACCCCCTGAACATGCATGAAAAGTTGTTAAATTTTGCCCAAAAATCAGACCTGGCGAAAAATTTGATATTTTGGTGTTTATTTTTATGGGACTCAAAAAATGCCAGAACAGCGCCACCTACAACAGCCAAAATAATACCCCTATGGGAGTTCTGAGGATCAAGTTTGTTGTAGAGTCATGAAATTCGGTACACATGTTCCGCAAGTCAAGACAAGAAAAAAATATTATTATGGCTCCGCCCTCTGACAAACAGGAAGCCCATAAATTTCACTGCAAAATGGAAAAATGAACAGCAAAAGTATTCATACATGTCGGTTGGAAAGCGACTCCTCCTCGGCCGTTTCACCGATTCGCCTCAAAA